TATATATATGGAAATTTTTTGAAGAGGGGGGAGGAAAAAAACGTATTTACACCTTGTATGTGCAAAGGGGCAGGATTAGCGAGACCGGCGTTACGTTGCGCTCCTGGATAAATGCAAGAGGGGTGCAAACCACTTCCGCATGGTTGAAGGGTTAACGCCGGATTAGCGATAGGCCCATAAAGAATTTGTTGCTGCTGCTGCTGCTGTTGCTGCTGTTGTTGCTGTTGTTGCTGCTGCTGCTGTTGCTGTTGTTGTTGTTGTTGCTGCTGCTGCTGCTGCTGCTGCTGCTGGGGGTGTACGAGGGACGATGGAGTTGACGTGGATGGAATCGAGGATTGTATGGACGATCGATTAGCACGTGCGGCCGTAGGGTGCATGATCCACCTAACCCCGATTTGAAAACGATCCTCTCGTTGTCTTTCTTTCCCTTGTCAACCTCTCTGTTTCAAGGAAATAATTTATTCGATATGCGTGTATATATATATATATATATATATATATATTTATATTTATATTTATATTTATATATGTATATACGTGTACGTACGTACGTAATGTCACGTTACGCATCTACGATTTTTTTTTTTTTAATTTTGAATCAAACGGGGAATAGTGTCGAGAAAACGGGAAAGTGTCATCGTTTCGATATATTTTGAAATGAAGAAGAAGAAGAAGAAGAAGAAGAGGAAAAAAAAAAAATATATATATATATCGGTTGATAAATCCGTATATAACAGTTATAACACGACGAGTCGTGGATATCTTTCGCCCAAATGAAATGAACCTAGCCGCTATGAACCAGCTGTTATTAAACACGTCTAACCTAAAGCACATTTTTTTTCCTTCCCCCCTCCCCCGATCTTTTGCACGAAGGTTTTTATATTTTTGGTTATTTACCTGTTATTCGAATATACCCTTTTTTCCACTCTTCTTAAATAAACTATTTCCATTCAAACCGGTTTCGGGTAAAGTAAGAGTACAATTATGATGGCGGAGCAAGTCACGGATTAAGAGAATTAGCCTTGACGGGGACGACACAGTAATAGGATAAAATCATATTGTGCTTAAATAATGTTTTACATACAAGGGAGAACATAGAAAAGAAAGGATTTAAACTCTTTTAAACGAATTGCGGAACTTGCGGTTGAATAAAAAAGAAATTCGATGTGTTGATCCCCACGTCTTTCCGAAAAAAAAAAAATTTGCTCCTTTTTTTTTGCCTCTCTCTGAGTTAACAAATGTACATGTTATCGTTATATTTTTTTTCTTTCTTTTTCTTTTTCCCCTTTCCTCTTTTTTCTCGTCTAATAAACGTTTCTCCCTTCACAGGAACAAATCGAAATTCTTTGTAAAAAAAACGAGAAATGACCAAACTTATATATACATATTTGAAGGATAAATGGGTAATCTACGAAACGAAAGTCAACGAACACTGCGAGGAAAAAATGGCAGATTACTGGCTGAAACAAAATTCTCTACACGGAACAATGAAACGAGCGAAAAAATTTGACGTACGGCTCGTTAAAATTTTTGTCCAAAATTTTAATTATAAATATAATATTTCCCCGATAATATCCGTGAAAATATGTGAATCTCGTGCACAAATATAATTACCGATAAATTAATCATGGAAAATACATTACCGATTAAATCGTGCGTTAATCGTTCGAATCGCGTCGCTCCGTCAATTCCCTGCTTTATCGCGCGAGAAAACGATCGTATTATTTAAATATCGGGATGCAAATCCGTCGTTTTATTTTATTCATTGGAAATAAGAAAAAGGAAAATTTTTCCTGCCAACAATGATATTTATTTCTACGAATCGAATAAAAGATCGAAAGTTCGTCCATAGTCGAAGAATTTTTTAATGTATTTACGAACCACCCGATTATCGATTATCGTATTTTCGTATTTTTACGAGCAACGAGATATTGAAACAACTTTACGATAGAATCCTTCTATAATTGAATACTTTTTTACACGCGTGTAACGTATCGAAAAATTATTTTTTTTTTTTTTTTTAAATAATTTGACGAAGGACGATCGATAGATCGACCCATTTTTTTTCGTAAAACTTTTTCGTAAAGTAAATTATATTTTATTGTATCATTCATTCGACATAGGATGAAGGAAAAAATAAGAGAGACCTGGTGATTTTTCGTACCTTGATATATATATATATATATATATTTATATATTTATATATTTATATATATATATATTTTCTTTTTTTTTCTGCTTCGCACAAAAACAATACAATATGTCGTACAATCGATGTTTTCTCGCGAAGATCTGTCTGTGTAACGTATAGTATAGACTTTCAACAAGTTGCGTAATTATTACATGTGTTGTGTCAATGTCATTCTTAAGCTCTACGTAGAGAGAGAGAAAATTGTCGAGTGAACACAATGCGACGACGGTCGTCGCACCTTTTAGCACCTAAATTGAAAAAATTTTTTCTCATTTTTTTTTTTTCTTTTTTTAATTTTTTTTTCCCCCAAGAAGAATTATACACGATCGAGGAAATATTCGCCAAGCTCGTCTAAAAAGTACCAAAAAAATCGTATTATCCTACCCTCCCCTAATCCCCTGTACAATAGTTTTATCCCGGTTAAAAATTGATAAGGATCTAAAATTCTGATTGAAAAATTTCGTACGGACATCTTTTAACATCGTTTTATTTCGTTTCTTTCCGTTAAAAAGCGATCTTTCCCCTTTCGTTCGAAACAGGCGATCGGAAACAGCATTGTATACGTATACGCATAATCTCATCTAAACCTACGATATTTTTTTTTTTTTTAATTTCTCGAACCCGATGGAGAGGAAGCCATTGCACAGTGTTTCTAGAATTTTTTTTTTTGCGTAAAATTCAAATTTCTCGTTTTCGAGATCGTCAGTTCCGTTTCCCCTTGTTTACACATCTTTCTTACTTATATATACGATACTCGAATACTAACGATCTCGAAATCGCGGAACGTTGATCTTCGTCGTCGACCGAGTCGAAAGAGTACGTCGATACTTTCTCTATTTTCTTTTTTTTTTTTTTTATCTTTTCTTTTCTTTTCTTTTTACTTTCGAAGAAATTAATTATTACGCATGTACGCTAGAAGGACACTGGCGGCGACGCACGAGGCGATCAACGACGTTGGCGGTAGAACGCTCGGTGTACCCGTGTTGCAAAAGTCTGTCAGACACGAGCAAACCTCTTGGCGGCCACCGAAACCGCTCCTCTGGTAACATTTCCCCTTGTAATTCGACTCGTCCCATCCGCAGCCCCTTATCACTCTCGTGTCGGGTGGAACTGTTAAAGAAAACACACGGTTGGACGGTTCAATGCGCGTTTATTACTTAGTGCAATAATAAACGATAATATCTCAAGTTAGCGCAGCCGTTACACAGTTATCGACGCGTACGTTACACGGTTGGTAAAATAGGCTTGGTTAAAAAATATTAAAAATACTTGATTGAAATTTTTTTTCTTCTTTTCTTTTTTTTTTTTTTTTTTTTTTGAGCGTTACTCACGTCCATTAACGCTGAACTCGATGACTTGCGTGATCTTTCGGCACATGGTGTACTTTGCGCCGTTCTTCAGATCGGAGCAATCTTTTTTCAACGCGTCCGGTGGATTCTCGTCGGCGCATCGGCTGTCGTTGTGACTGTTGCAGAGATAACATTGCATCGCGTTTATACCTGGAATCAGAGTGAGGAATTAAATTCATATTTTCGTCGAGGAAATTTATCATTATCGCGGGATAGGGGATTTGATTGTATTAATTTAATATGCGTTATGTAACGTATGGGTACATACTACGAAAACTGAAGAGATTACGCGAATGTTGTTGGAAAACGGGTAACGATAAGAGAGGTCACGGTGGAGAGAAAATAACGCGACGAGATTTATCTCCGTGGCGATGCGTTTAACGTACGAATATTCCGTGTTATATAGGTCATTACGTTTATACAAAATTAATTAATTATTAAACATCGAATAAATATCGAATTATAGCTTTTAACGAAAAATCAAAGGAAAAGACAATTATTTGGACAAAAAATATTAAATATTAAATATCTAAGCAAATTCACTTTTTAAAAAATCAAAAAGAAAATTTTTTTAAAATGATTCTGCGATATTCCAACAGAATAATAATAATAATAAGAAGGTTCATTGTACCTTTGACCGTAAGTGTTATAAAAATCAATGCAGCTACGTGCCCTAGAAATGCATACTCACAATAAGTTTACGCGGTTGTCTTCGCGCTTTTAATCTTATTTGTACCATCATTCACAGTTTCAGAATATAAATAGTATTGCGCAATACGATAAGCGTAACAATAATTTAAAGTAATTTTTCGATCGATATATATATCGACAAAAATTAAAAAAAAAAAGAAAAAAAGACGAAACAATTAATAATATTCCTTCAATCCATAATAATAAACAATCCATAATAAGAAACAAATTTTTCAACTCGTATGAAAAATTTGCGCATAGCATAAAATCGTCATTGATCTCCACCAGTCTCTCTATTTCGTTGAATTAAAACGTGTTCATCGATCAAATACATTTCTCGTTCTGATCGTTTAACCGCGCGATAATTGCTCGATATTTCGATTTTTTTTTTCTCTTTCGCTTGTGTATATACACGTATCCCGTCGTTATGATTAAATCGGTCAAAACACTAAACACAATGAGGAAGCAAGCCGATCCACTTTTCGAACAGGGTGTGTTATTATCACTTCATTGGCTAATATTACCGTTAATTGGAAAAAAAGGAGTGAAATTTAAATTTAACCAAGAAACTTGAATCAATCTACTTCTTCGTAATAATAAGCATAATTTAATAATTGCGTCAATAAACGCGAAACGACGACGCGTCTAACATTTTTATCCGCCTCACAGATATGTCACAATTGCAACAACATTTTATTTATTTATTTATATATTTATTTATGATATATTGGAAATTATGGATGCGTTTCATCAATTATCATCGATCAAAAAAAAAAAAAAAAACGAATTCACTACGAGAAAAATTTATCGTATATTCCGTAATAATTTCGAGATACGTGGAATATCGTTTTTTGCTGACTAGGGAAAAATTTTTTTGACAGAACAGAATCCCTCGAATTCCATCACAAATTATTGTCGATCGAAGAACACGATTGGGCGAGTTCACAACAAATTCATCAATCATATTTTCACACCTTTTTACCATATTTATAACGATCAATCAATTCCAATTTACATTATTTTACTGTAAAATATTGTCACCGAAATATGATGACATAAATTCAACATCCCTGCTACATTCCACCACCAAAACACGATTCACTATTTACGGAACCACCAATTGCCGAAAAATTAAAAAAGAACCAGCGAACGAAAGCCAGCGTACACGAGGATCGATATAGAAGCGGTCTCGCCTTCCTCCCCCTTGGATCGTTGAACCAAGTCCACCCCAAGAGTCGACGCTTACCGTAAAAACCGAGCACGACCAATAGGCAAACGACGAGGATGCCGATGCGTCTCATCTTTCCTCCCTGCTGTTGTTAAATCCTTGTTATCGAACCCACTTCCTTCCACCTTATAATTCCACCTTCCTCGACAGACGAGGTCCACGAGGCCGACGGATCGAGAGGGTGGTGGAGGAGAGGAGAACGAATAGAGAGAGAGAGAGAGAGAACGAGCGAGAAAGTGGGAGAGAGAGAGTGAGAGCGAGAGAGGAGAAAACGCGGTCAGACGAAGGGGTTGACGAGGCCAACCATTCGGCCTCGACAGCTGGTGAAGCACTGGCCGTTTCCTCGCCGCGATTGCAGCGCAAGCCCGCGACTGGAAGGCGGCCACGACGATGCCTGCACCACCGGATACGGGCGAGATGGATCGAGGCGAGAGGAGAGGATGATTGAATCGAAGGACCAACAACAAACTGGATCGAGGAAAAGATTCCTCTTCCTGGTCGAATCTTTTTGTGCCCTTCGTTCATTTCAATAGATTGATTGAAATTGAAGGGGGATCGATATTTTTCGAGGATTTGATTCATTTTCTTTTTTCGTTCAAGCTTTTCCAAGTTCTATGGAATATTATGGTTATATGGGTATATGGGCAGTCGAGTTATGCAAATGTATCCATAGATGAGTTTTTCGAGGTTATGTCTCGAGACACGAATTATCCGTTTTTATATCTTTTATATCTTTGGTTATCGGTTCCTCGAAGTTTTATTTTCATCTCTCTTCTATGGAGCTTCTTATGATTAATCGTAAGCATTCTTATTTATCATTATTATCGATAATGTGTTCATACGGAAACGTAAAATTTGGTTTATTAAAGTAAAACGATAAAATTACTGATCCTTAATGTGTTAATATTAGCGAAATATATTAGTTAATTAAGTATCTGGTAAATTTATTTTCATAAAATATTAAATATAATAAATGTACTAAATATATGTATATTCGAATTCGATATTAATAAACTGATAGATAAGAAAGAAGCTAGTAAGATGATTACACTATTTTTCATGTTTATAAACATAAGCCAATATTATATATAAACAGAATGATATCAAGTTACACACATTGAAAAGTTTATTTTAAAAATCGAATTTTCTCGAGAGCGAAAATTCTCTTGAAAATTACGCCAATGCACTTGTACGATGTACTCGACCCACAATTTTGCAGGTCTGGGATTGATCGTTTTAGAATTGATTGCCTAATGCTTCCTGTCACCGTTTTCAATTGCGCATACGTATCTCTCTTGTTCCTGAGAAGTAACCAAGAGCCTTAACTCGACGAATCGAACGTGAGTTTGATCGTGAAAATTTAGGATTGTTTCGATGGATAAAACAGGGCTGGACGTTAAATAGGGAAGGCCGTGGGCGATATACGTAGAGCTTTATGTTCAAATGGACCGTAAAGTGGTGGTTTGGAACACGCTAAGTGGATAATATCCCTTTTCCTGTGACACACTGAACGTCATGAAATGTCATGGAAGCGTAGCGAGCAATGAGTTGCACGCGAACAATACGGAAAGGAACGTGAAGGATATCGTTCTACGTTGTTGTACCAGCTTCTGAATCATCGCTCTTGTGACCTAATTTTTTTCTTTCAACTTGATAACAGGATCGACAAGACGAAATACTATATATATATATATATATGTTAATGAATTTTTTTTGCTTTGTTTGATTAACAGAAATGGAAAATAATTTAATAATCAAAAAAAAAAAAAAAAAAAAAAATATATCGACACGACACGGATTTGTTAAAAATTACAATTGAATTATACCATTTAACTTATTTAACACGGTGAGTCCCTGACACTTGCGATGATTATGTTCCGAGTGATAAGCATCCTGAAATTATTTTCACGTTAAAGATACAATGAACTGTTTCCTTTTTAATTATATCTTTTTTCCAAATTATTTTTGAAATTTATGTAATAATAATTTGAAAAGAATTATTGTAAGATATCTAAAGTAATCGAATAGATATAATATCGAAATAAAGCTAGAAATATTTTTATAGAAAATGAATCGATAAATCTATTATATTCAAATATAGTATAGTTATATTTCAAAAAAGAATATTGTATTGTAACATGTAATTACACTTTTCAGGTAAACCGATGAGCATATAAATTGTATTACGTGAAGCATACTGTGTAGATATAAGTGCAAGGAGAATCGTGATATCTTAATGAACGTGAAATTTTTACGCGGATAATTTAATTCCTTTTAAAAATAATAACTATTTCTGCATTGAAAATATAGAATAAATTACGACGAATAATTATTGTTTATTATTTATTATTGTATCGAATATATACAGTGATGAAAAAATCTAAAATTATTTTTATCACTATACAAGTTGTTGAATCGTGAATTTCTGAAGTGGTAACACTGTTTTAGAATGAAATGACACAAATTTAGAAACAAATTATTTGTTACGTTACAAAAATGACTATTCATATATCGATTTCGTAGTGTTTATGTCCAAAAAATATCGAATAAATTTCTACGTCGAAATCAGTAAAAAATTGTTAAATTGAATTGTTTCTATTCTGTCCTGATTGTTTTTCACCTTGTGTAATATTTGTTGCTAAATAGATTAATGGATAAAAAAATCGTCTAGAGAATTTCAGTACATGAATGAAATATATAGGAAACAAATTTTTCATATCGGTGAATTCATCAAGGTATGATCGTATAACCTCTCAAGCACTATTACATTTATTATATTATTACATTTAATGATAATATTTACTTTTTATTTTTCTTAGCTCTTTTTTCTCTCTTTCTATATATATTCACTCTCTCTCTCTCTATATATATATATCGATAATTGAAGAGAAGATAATATTAAGATACATTCAATAAAAATTAATACGAAACTCCGAATAGAAAAGCAAGAAAAATTAAAAATGCGAGTGAATGTAAATGCATTACAAGTATTAATACTTTTATTTGTATTTCAAAGAGGTAAATTTAAAAAAAGATATCGTACTTATTAACTAGAGATAAAACAGAATATAACTTTATCAACTATAAATAAATTGAAGCGTATACTAGATGTTGATAAATGAAAACAAGAATTCGAAAATTAAACGTATCATTATACAAATTAAATGTAAAATCATTAAATGTATCAAATTATACAAATTATTAAAATTAGAGATATAGTATGATAGATTAGAGATATAGTATGATTATTTAGCATACAAAAATACATATATGTCGATTTATGTTATTGAGACAAGTTTCATATTTTTATACAAATTTTGTTATATTCTGTTTTACAAATATCAATAAGAAACAACAATGAAGAAATATATAAAAATTGTTTACTCAAAATAAATTATACCTTAATAATACTATATAACGTGATGTATTGTTTTTATATATCTGATGTTTATTAATATATATAAGGAGAATCGAAAGCTATTAAATGTTATCAATGTAATAGTAAAAAGGATAAAGATTGTACTATCAATACGGTAGATATAAGATATTTGAAGCCATGTCCTGCGTCACAACCATTTTGTCGTAAAGCTGTGTACATATGTAAGTTGACAAATTTTTTTTTCCTTTTCAAATTTATCACAATATATTTAAAATTAATGAATTAATTACGTAATTAATTTTTAGATTATTTTATGAATTCTCGAGAATATATAGTAATACGTGAATGCGCAAAATGGTGGAACAGTGACAAGGAATGTTACAGAGGTCGTTATCCACGTGATAGTTATCAATATGTATGCGAGTGTAAGAGTACAGGATGTAATCGATCGACGAGATTCTCATCAAAAACTATTATTTTTTTATACATTTTGTGTCAAATAATTATCTTTCTCGTTGGAAATCCTACCTGACACAAATGCATCGTTGAAAATAGGCTGGAGACATTTAATTGATTATCATGACGACATTCCTTTATCAAGACATTCTCGCAATAATTTTACTTACGAACAGAGTATAAAAAAAAAAGCGACACACAGTTGTTGATACATTTATTACGATATAAATTTAATAAGTCTGAACGATTGTTTGTGTAACAAAATAATAGAAATAGAAATAGAATGTATGTTATACATATGAAAAAATATGTAAAATGTATGTAAAAAAATATATATATATATATAGCGAGAGCATGAGAGAAGAATGTTGTTTAAATTAAAAAGAAAAAGGGAAAGTGCCATTGTGATTTTCTTACAACTTGTCTGAATAAAGAAATTTTATTATTTTCAACTCGTTTCTTTTGAAATTTCGTTTGTAAAACCGTACTTGTTAATCAAAAATGATAAATTATTCGTGAAAACTGCAACTATTACTTATTCGAGTAAATTTTTATTTTCATACCTAAATGAAATATTCCATCAATTTTTCACCGAACATAAAAGTAATAAAATCGTTTTTGGCAATCGGCCAATTCATATTACAATAAAAGGATACGAGCGAATAATATCTATCGTATGAAAACAGAGAGCAGTGAATTAATTCGGCGTTTATCTGTGAAAGCGGATTCCTCGATAGCCAAACAACTAATCGCCATTTTGGATTTAAACTCTGCCGACAAAATTGCACGTAATTGATACAATTATCTCCATGCAATCATTCTAATCACGAGATAAATATTGACGAGTTTCATCGTACAGTTAATCACTTGATAATCTATAAAATTAACCATTGATTAACACATTTTGATCTCGATATAAATAATTTTTCAAATAATTACTTACATACAGTTATCTACACATTTTTTGTTAATTCGAAAAATCGTTTTCCACATTGGTTGCAAAGTCTCGTTCGTTCGTTTCGTTTCGTGGAAAATCGATTTCGTCTGAACACGAAACGGTAATATAAACAAATTGGCTGGTTATTCACACCAACAACATACAACAAAATTACAGTAACAATCGACTTTCCACCCACATCGTTCTTATTATTATATCTGCTTGCTCGAATTTTTCCCAACCAGTATTACGTGGGTGTCGTAACTTGATTTATCAACACGAGAAAAGTTTCTTTCTCTTTCCCTTAATGGTCTTCCTTGAAATTTTTCTGAAAAACAGGAATATGTATCTCTCGTTACGAAAGCGAGTCAAAATTTTTTTTTTTTTTTCATATACAGTGATTCACTATTTTTTTGTTCATATTAATAATTTTTTATTTTTTAATTCGAAAATTAGAGCAATTTCTTTTTCATCGAGATTTTAAGGATACGAAATCAATGAAATCTTTTAAATATAACTTTTCAATTTTCAATAAAATAAAATTTTAATGAAAAAAAAATGTCCAAAATGTATTGCTCTATTGTGATAAAAAAAGTTTTCGGTTGAAATTGTGAAAAAAAATAACTTGATTTCTTCGTTAATTGAATATTAAAAATCAGAATTATCAAGTGAAGTTTCCCTGTAAAATAACATTACTGAATAAATTTCATAAGCTATTCTATTATACGTACGCATAGATATACGCGTTGTGTAACCACAAGACAGGCGAGAATAATTTAAACGAGGGCCATAGGAGGAACGTGGCCGATCCAAAGGACTCGTAAAAATTTTCTCGAATAATAATATACGCAGAGTCCAAGATTGAGGCAAATGTAGGTGGTGTACGGTCATTCTTCCTCGTCCTCCATCACTCGCAACAGCGTCTCCATCGACAGAAGCTTCGCCGACGGTATTATTACTATTTGGGTCGCGGCAATGTGGCGCCGAACATCCTGACGCTCTAACACTTCTCACCAACCTATGCTTTCATTACTGCGCACCGAAGATTCCTTGTGGGAATTACGAATACAATTTTGTATGAATATATATATATAAAATAGAATTTATTTTTAACCTAAAGTTTTCCAATTAGTTAAACTGTAGCCACTTAACTCACTTTGGGTCTTAATGCCATTGCATTGGATGCCATATTTCGAAAGTATGTCAAGTTCAACTTGGTGGATTAGCACTTAACTTTTTTTATCTGCGAAAATTAGTTTCATCTTAGCTTAAAAATATTTCTCTTCTTTTCAATTATATATATTTTGATTTTGATGTATGTACGATATAGAATGCATCGATCATACAATTTTTTAGGTTATTTGAGGATACTTTAAAAAGTTGAGTGAAAAAATTCTGAGCCAGATCTCATGGTAATTGTTAAATTCAAAATTGAGCTAGACGGCGTCGTTCGCATGCTAGATAGGCGCCGCGACGTCTCCTGTTCTTATCTTTCTCTTTCTTTATTCTGTTTTCTTTTCTATAACTGATTTTACGAAAGAACGAAGTTTACATATATATTTTGCCACACATGCACATATACACACCGAAAAAAAATGACCACGATTAATGATCCTGTCTAATGAAAATTTAAAGTACGATTTCGCTCGAACTGCGACTTCTATCTATCTATTTATAACTAAAAATACGAGAAACTTGATGGAAAATTTTGAAAACGGATATCAGTCGAACGAAAAGAGGTCGTAAAGAAATATAAATCGAAGATGAATAGTATTTCAATGAAATTTTGTTAAAAAGCCGACTGAAATAGTACTAAACATTTATGCTTATAAATTATGTATAACCTATAAATGAAACTACAAGTATAATGATTTTGCAATTCAAGCAATTGAGTTGAAATTTTTGCGAAATTCGAATATTATTATTTTTATGTGTCGATAGAAAATAATATATTTTCGTATAAAATTTCGTATAGATACTTTTACGATGACTTCAAATATTTCTCAAAGTTACAAAATTGCTACTGTCAAGGAATTCGTTTCTTCTTTTTCTTCTATGTTCACGAAGTATATTTTCGTCGATAAGTTAGTCGAAAAAGATAGATCGATAAAATTAAAGTTTTAATCAGCGCCATCTCGCGTTTGGATTTCGGAAGCTTCGACTTGTTACTAGCATAACAGAATATGCATGGAGGTATTCGTGACGTCACAGAGAAGGAGAGCAACACTGTGCGAGAAGGATAAAGAAGACATGCCACTTTTTTTGGTTATGTGGTTCCTAATACCTCCCACCATTTCCAAAATATAACATTGAAAATTTGTTAATTATTAATTTTTTAGTAAAAATTTATGCACTTTTAAGCTCGAATCTTAAAGATAGAACCTCAAACAAATTTCTCGTGTCAATTTTAACAATAAATTCCTTTCAATTAATTATTTATTAATAATTGATGCGTGGTATGCGGATTAACGCCATTGATACGCAATACATTATTCGTAATTTATTATTATTATATAATTTATTTATAAATATGAATATATACATTTGAAAGCTTGTTTCTTTCTTTACTTTCACGAATAATCTTTGCTCGTAATTTCTTCGTTGTTCGAGAGAATAAATCGATCATTCGTTCACTCGATCTCGAAATGAAGATTCATATATGAGATACTCTCTATGATAATCATTAATAAATCATTAATTGAGAAGAATTTCCGATTAAAATCGATACGTGAAATTTGTTTAAGCTTCTAACTTGAAGATGCAAATTTAAAAGTGCATAAATTTGTAATAAAAAATTAGTTATTAATTAATTTTCAACATAACTTTTTCGAATGTAGTGGGGATATAATGGCGCCTTTTCTACCTTTCTCGCACAGTGCTGCCCTCTTTCTTCGTGACGTCACGAATACCTCCATGCATATTCTGTTATACTAGTAACAAGTCGAAGCTTCCACGATCCAAACGCGAGATGGCGCCACAGATACGAAAAATTGTTTAATTCTCTTTCCTTGTCTAACTCACGAACAAAATCACGTTCCTACACACAATGTTCACACACAAATTCTATGTATATTTTAAATATATTTTTAAATTTGTATACGTCGTATATAAATATTTTATTTATTTTTTCGTCGCATAAGTATATCATACAGTATAAATACTTTATTTATATTATTTATATTTTTACACGTCGAATACACGTTTCATTGTAGATTTTACACGTGATATATGACAGTTTAAAGGGATAAATATAAAAAAGAAACAGATAATAATTAAAACACGTTAATCACATTTTAGAAAATTTTTTGCATGCTACTTCTTCTCGGATCATAATCCCTTGATGACAAAATCGAAATTTCTACGAAGAGAAGAATATAAATATCGGTGGCACGAACAATTTTTCTTTTTAAATTAACCAAGAAGAAAAAAACACTTATTCACTTTTCGTGCATTCGATATTTTTCGATTAGAGCCGCGCACAAGAAAAAAGAGTTGCGTTTTCCTTCGTTTAAGTAAATAATTCGATACGTTCCGTCGAAAAAAATATTTATCTAATCACTTCCTCGCCACGAAACCGTCTCGATAATTGTCCCATCGAAGAAATCGATGAGAGGTGCGCCTCTCTGCAAATAATTCGATCATTCGGTTTAAAATAGTTTGTACGATTTGCGGTTATCTTATTACCTTCGAACAAAGAGAAAAATGCGAGCAACAGCGCCCCCTAAAATTGTTATTTACGTGTCTCTCACGTCGCAAAAATATGGCTGGTGGTGCATCGTCGCTAATCAGGCTAATAGACAATTAACGTTCCTCGATATGTTCCATACATTTCCTCCTTCCATTCTTTTTTTTTTTTGTCAGCTGCTGCTTCGAAAATTTATTCGATCCCCCCTTCCAGTGGCTCCTTATTTTCAACGCGAGAAATCGTCGGAATTCTTGCCAAACGGAATCTTCTGAATCGCATTTTCCACGCGAATCGTCTCGCGCACAATGTTTTAATCCAAACGTTATTACAGGAGCAACGGTACGTTTAAGTGATATTTTCAAAGAGCCGATTAAAGATGTTAAATGAGATGCGTTAATGCGTGAAATTTATCCATTCTATAGGATGGATAGGTAATATACAAGTACTGCAACAGGTGCATATAGATTTTTTTTTTGTGAATATGTGTTTTTCTTTAAAATTCACGCCGATTTTTCAAACATATCGGTTACCTAGATTAGATTTCGAAACGAGTAACTTCTTTTATTTTGTGCATTTAAAATAAAAAATGTATTCTAGTAAAATTATTTATTTAAGAAGATTATCTTAACCTTCTTCGAGAAGTAAAACGTTTTTAATTATATATTTAATGCACAATCATTTATCAAAAAATTGATGTTTGTAAAATTCAGTACACGTTCGAAAGATATTCGAAAACTGAAAATTTTTTACGAATATTCAATCGATTTATATACAACTTTCGTTACATTACTTGGAAAAATTACTTCGAAAAAATTCTCAATCAACAATGTATCGATCTATATCGATTTATACACATCTAAATTATTATTTAAAAAATTTTTTCATCCTTTTTTATGTATAAACATCGAACGATTATTAATGTCATTAAATCCATCAAAACGATTATTTTAAAAAATTAAAAAATTCCCATTAACTAATCAACCGATATATGTCGAACGTGTAAATTAATATTAAATGCGCAACACCGACATTCTCTACATTGAACATTAAAAATCTTTTTGAATTTTTTAAAAAATTCATTTGATGAAAATTTTACGAGACGATCTAGAAAAATAAATTTAAAAAAAAAAAGAGAGGAAAAAAATAAGAAAAGCTAAGTGGCTTGCGCGATTATGCGATCTCTATAGAGAAGGAATGGCTAAACGGAGAAAGAGAGAGAGAGAGAGAGAGAGAGAGAGAGAGAAGGTAGCGAGTGGCGTGGTGAGTGGCGAAGCCCGCAATCTCATACTCGCGATCAGGCTGTCGACTCGACGACAACCCTTCCTCGTGCCCAGTGCTTCACCCTCCGTCACGAATCGCAGTTTGGATCCTGCATTCAAACGGTAAACTTGTTCCACAGGATAAAAAAAGAATCGCTACGACCACTTCCGGAATGAATCGAAGGATCGCGTCGCTAATCATCAGCCTTGCCCTCGTGTTGGCGGTTCGTTCAGGTATGCATCCTTGTTCCCTTCATTAATTGGAAATTAATTTATTACGAATTATAAAGTGGAATCTGCGTCGATTCAATTTCTGTTCGATGTGAGATATATTTATATTTATATTGTGTATAATGTTCTAATAATTGTAGAAACACGTAGAAGTTTTGAATTTAATTGGATTAAAAATTATTAATTTGAGGAGTTGTTATTATTATTATTATTATTATTATTATTATTATTATTATTATTATTATTATTATTAAGGAAATATTTATTTTTATGGCGTAATATACGTATGATTTAAATTAAAAAAATTATTTAACGATATTTATCGTCTTATATATATATATATATATATATATATATAAATATAATTACGTTATATTATTTAATTTCGATGCACGATGATCAATAGTCTTCTTTGCAATATTTTTAATATTTTTGTTGAAATGCTTGTTTGAATTTATTTCGATTCTACAGCATCTCATTATCAACGAAACAATTTATCTTTATATCATAATAACATTTAACAAAATTTAACTTATTTCAAAAAATATATTCGTTTTTATTATTATTTTATTCAATACAAAGTTTCAATATATAAGCAATGTATACGCGTATTAAACGCGTACTATTAATTTTAACTTCAATTCGTTAACTTTTAATCCATTTTTTAAACGAGAATATCGTGATTATCGATTTCTTTTTTTTTTTTGTTTTTTTTTTTACAAGAATAAAACGTGAATAGTCACGAATTATTTTTTATGCAAAAAATAACTCGAAAACTGTAAAAGGGTTGTAGGTTAATCGTGGTTTATCGAACTACGAGTTGCAATTTACGACGGGAGGGGGGGGTAAGTAACGTCGCGATTCTTGGCGCCACGATACTCCGCGACCCAAATAATAACTACACACGGACATGCGTGTGCTTGGAAGAAAGAGAGAGAGAGAGAGAGAGAGAGAGAGAGAGAGAGAGAGAGAGAGAGAGACGTTAAGAATTACGTATTTTTCGATTTTATAAACATTCTCACAATATATCCGCTCCATTGGTTAGAATTAAAGATAGTAAATGTTATGTCGACGTCTACCAGGCGCCAAGGAAAGTAAATTATTTATTTTATCTGGAAACAAACAATATTGAGATGAATTGTAATCAAGAAAAAATGGAAAATTGATATTTTCTTTAAATAGATTCGATTTCGAAAATTTCCACTTTTTTCTTATTTTTTCATTTATGTATTTATAGTTATGTGAAATAGGATACGAAAAGAAACGAAGAAGATGGTTCATTGTGATTGTTAATTTTGTTCTTATTTCATATTACGTATTTTGGATTTGGAAATTTTATTAAAAATCTTTCGTAATTTTCGTTTTATTTAACGATATTTAACCCTTTGCGGAATATTTTCTCGATTCTATTTTTTATTTGTTTCCAGGGGAACAATTTTTTATTTTATTTCCAGGGGAACGAAAAGAAAGAGAATGAAGAGGAATCTTATTTGGAATCTGATTCTCGTGTTTATGTTTTATTCTATTTTTGAGAATTTATATTTCTAACGGTTTTTCCTCGTTTTATTCCATACATAATTGCGTCTTGCGAATTGTTTCTAATTCCAGGAGTATAAATACAATTTTCATTTTTCTATTTAATTTAAAAATTTATTATTAATAAAAAAAAGTTTATGCTATACAACTTTTTACAAATGATTCTTTGATTTTTTATAGAGGATGTTCTCTATACGAAACAAGATCATAAATATTAATGCGTAAATATTATAAATAAAAATATATTAGAAACAATATATATTATTTTATCAAGAATTTTATTATTAAAATAATTTGTCCATGAAGGATTAATAATTTTACGATTATAAAATATTATAGATGAAATACGAATTTAAAATATAAGCTTAAAATATACAAAAATTTTAAAATTCATTTCTAAATTTGAAGTATCGTTTTAAATGAATTATAAATCGAGCAGCAGTTTTTTTTTCTCCAACTATTTTTTGAGCAAAATCGTGTCAAGTGCCAAAAGAGACGTGCGAAAATATTACAATGCCAAACTCAAGCAACATTTTAGTGGCACGTTGAAGAGGAACATGAAGAGTACCAGTATGACGACAAAAGTGACCATGTACACAATTGTACACAATTAGCGGATCATTGCTAATTAGCTGTGAAAAAAAAAATGTAACGATGATTATTTGACTTATATTTTATAAAAATAAAATATAAACTCGTTTTTTTATTCAACGTTCTCGTTCGTTTGATAAATGAAAAATATTATTTGTGTTAAAAAAAAAAAAGAAAAAAAACGGTTTTGATTTTACAGACGAGAAATTAAAATGCTACATGTGTACTTCGTTAACGGACCCTAGCTGCGACACGGATCTGAGCACAGAGGATATCAAAGAATGCACTTTGAATAACATGGACTCGTTTAAAGAAAAGGTTCAACAGCACAACGATTTAAATAAGATATCCGTCATTTTCGAAGTCGACAAATCACAGTATTATCAAGCATCCGCTCCAATGGCATGCGCTAAAATGATTTTTAACGGTACGAATCGTGAATTTTAATTTATAAAATTTAAAAAAAGAATCAATGAATTTTATTTATTATTTCGTACTATATTTTACATTTTTGTTTCAGATATATCTTTACTTTTATATTTTCTTATATTATCTAATTTATATAATCTTATATTTTATATAGAAAAAAAAATTATATTTCTGAAGTTTCAAATTTAGAAAAAAAAACAAATGAACTTATTATTTCATATTTCATATTTTCATTCGATATATTTTCATCGTATAATCCAAATAATTCATCAATCTTTTTTCCAAATATTTCTATATCTTATCCTATATTTTATAGAGGACTCTCTTAAAGATATTGGAACATCCAATATCGAGTTATTAACAAAAAACACTAGCCAATCATGAAGCGCGTAGCCTAGTTGAAACGCCGAATTATAGCTAATAATTGGTTACGTGCTGTCGATCGAGCACGAATAAATCCAAGCAACATATCTTTAAAAAAATGCGTTGAATGTAACAGATATTTTTTTATCGATAAAAAATATCGAATTATATTGCAAACAATGAATAAATAAATAAATATAAATATTCACACTTTCTTCGAAATATATTGCTTGGATCTGTTCGTGCTCGATCGGCAACTTGAAGCCAATGCTACTCTCATGTCTCTACTACGTGTTTCGTGGCTAGTGTTTTTTGTTAATAACTCGTTAAGAAAGTTTTTGACGAAAGTTTTCGGAAAAGAAAGTGTGAATCTCAGTTTATGAATGTTCAACATTTTTCTCTATTATTTTTCTTTTTTGTTATATTTTTATATTGTGTTCATTTATCCATAAACGATCGAATTTATCAATTAATCTGTGTTCATCAGTTAACAATCGAGACGTGACAGTGAGGACTTGCCAGACAGCGAAGATGGAGACTATCGATCCGTGCAAAGCGATCGAAAGCAAAGTCACCAACAATATTCATGATCTGAAAAGTTGCGACTTATGCCAACAGGACGCTTGTAACGGTTCCATTTCTGTTTCACCAAGGATTCTGCTCCCACTGTTGTCCACCATTGGTGCAATAGCTTTCGCTTTTTTTTACAAGACCGCGTAACCTTTATAAATTATCCAAGTTGAAAGAATCGATTTCGATTATCCTGTCGAGTTACGATTCCATTTAGCATATTCTAAAATTTGAAACACACACATATACGCATGTATAAGCATCACATTGTTCATTGATATTCCACGTCGTTTCACAATGCGTTTCGAATCGTGATAACGGATATATTTGCGACATGAAAGAAAATCGATTAAAAAATTTGTTACATATAATAGATCTCTGAGTTAAATTATTTATTTATTTATTTTTTTTACATTAGATATTATTTTATACAATTCTTGTTTATATCTTCGAAAAAAATCAGATTAGAGTAATATTTGTTGAAAAACAAGCGAGAAAATCTATTGCTATTGATTACTCGAATTTGAAATAAAATTTTTTTTTCCGATTAAATTCGTTTCGTAAATCGTTATTTCGATACGTGTAATTTTGATACAATTCCAAGAACAAGAAATTTCCATTTTCTACGTTTCAAAAATAACGAATCAATTAGCAAATTTTATATATCAAATTTGAAAATTAAAACAATGTAGAACGTTATGGTAATCGATTCCACGATTCCATCGCCTGTAACGCGTGTTCTTTATAAAAATTCGAATATTATATTTATAATTGCATATTTGAGCACGAACTTATGAATAAGTAAATACATTATATAGCTATATATTATACGAATTAAGGGGCTTATGTGAAATTTTGGCCAGTGTTTATATCGAGGAATACCACTCACAGTGGTTGCTTGACAAGATCGAATATATATATATCATCGCACGAGAATTATTACGAGCAATAAAATATGCGTGTATCGTTAAAATTTCTCAAAAGATACGAATTTTAATACTCTGTATATATACGCGATTAATAATCGAGATTAATAATCGTCGAATAATTTTAGATTACAGAGGGAAAATTTTGACATTTTCGCTATGTGTATATGAATTTCTTATCTTCTTTGTAAATATCGATGGTTAATCTAGTTTCAACAATTAACTCCATGTTTTTTTTATCAAGATGCGAGCGATATATTTATGTAGTTTCGGTTTCGAAAAAACACTTACTGTACTTTTTAGTGTAATGTTTATGTAACATCTTTAATTCTAAAACAGAGGAATTAAAATATATATATATATATATGATCGAAAGGATTAATTTATACATCTTTACAAATTCTGACAAATTTTACGCCGCACATCTATGCTCCCTACTCTAGTTCACATTTTCAGAATCTATATGATCCTTATTTTTATCGCCAGAGATAAGATAACAAGTAATAAAAAGATTTGGAACGTATGCAGAGGTGGAACCGACATGGCTGGACTAGCAATCTCGATGACGATAATCGTTCTCGTGAATTTAGGTAAGCAGTAACTTTTATTACTTTCATCCAAAAGTGCAGAAAAAAAATTTAGAATTTTCCAAATTACATTTCGTTCATCGCGAAATAGCATCGTCGTTAACCAAATAAGCGTTGTATTTACATTACAGAAAGTAAAAAAGTAACGTCGTATTACAAATTTTTTTTTTTTTTCTCTCGACAATCATTCGCTTCGTCCAATCGATCGAAGATATAAAGACATCGATTCGAATTTGACAGAGTACGGGAAAGGAGAGAAGTTGTGGTGTTACCAATGCAATACCAACTTGAGGAACAGGCACACGAGGGAATGCAACGATCCTTACCCATCATTCTATTTCGATTTAACTCTCTGCCCTCGAAATGAGTCGCATCATTGTTTGAAAAGCATCATCGATTGTGCGTATATGAAATAACTTACGTAGATTAGTGTGGCGTGCGCTCGCCTTCATTACGTGCACGCAACATCATCCATGGTACGTCTACGTGCTATCAACATGTTCGATCATATTCGCGGTGGATTGTACGTGTTAAACAGGGAACACCATGGTGAATTTTGAATTTAAGTTTAATTTACGTTTTTTTTTTTTTTTTTTTTTTTTTTTTACTGTGACTCGTGCAAGTATTCGAACGCTATTTTACAAAGAAATTCACCTAACTCGAAAAATCTTATCTCGAGTGAAACTTTTTGCTCTCTCTTCTCGAGACGAGAAATCGCTTTCAAGGGGTGAAATGAAGTTATCACCATTTACGCTAAATTGTCTATATTTTTTCTTATTTTTGATACAATTTCATCCAAGAACTTTTTTTTACAATAACGCAATAACAGAGTAAATTCTGAATATTTTTTTAAAACTTTAAAAATTTGTTCTCATCAGAAACCATTGTATTTGAAAAAAAATTCATTGAAACTTTGAGCAAAAAAAAAAATCGTATATTTTCGTAAAATATTGTTTCATCAGGAAATAAAACAATGTTGGAATGCTTTCGTGAGTCACTCTATTATATTCGTCACTGATCTATTCGATATATAAAGAATGAAACGAGTTTAGAATCGATTTTTTCAATAAGAATCATCGAAAAATAGGATAAAAATTCTTAGCTTCGAATTCGATTTTTAAATGAATACAATTTTAAACAAAAATTTAATTTTTTATTATTATTGCCAAATATTAGACGAAAATAGAGATTTTATTATCCATTAAACAAGAGGATATCACGATAGATTTCAGAAACATTAAAATGATTTCACGTTACGTATTTTCCACATCTCATCAATTTTGTTTCTTAAGAGGAGAACGTTTTTCAATGTTGACCAATGTTAAGCAATCGATGCTGAATTAAGAGAAAAATCAATTATTACTCAATTTCTTTTTTTTTTTTTCCCTTTTTGGAGATATAACAAGGTCATTGGCGAAGAAACGACCAGATTTTACGACATAGATTTATCCCGATTAGGAATTGAATAGAATTTCTTATATGGTTTTGTGAAAGTAGGGCAGTGTCTAGGTAGTTATGTTTTTGCCTCTTTGAAACAAATATCGTGTACTTATGTAAGAGATGATGAATCGACGGTGTGTCCTTATCTATCCTGTCAGAATTCTATGCTTTTAATTTCAATTTACATATATACATGTTAAAAAGTACATCGAGCATTATATATCGTCCTCTTTAATCGCAATTTATTATTTGAAGCATCCTTCTCCAAGGAAAAATTAACAAATTGCTTAATTCTACGCGACAAATTAAAAAAGTATCAGAAAATATAAAATATTAGCTGGATAGAGAACATTTTAGAACCAAGGACGGAATGTTAAACGCGAAAAACAATCGATCTCGACATTTTTCCTTCTTCTCTGCGAATAATTCACCTATGCTTTTAATCCCGTATATTAAAAAGACATGAAATATTAATACCATTCTTCGTAGTCGTAATTTAATTCCTATTTACATTTAAAGAATCCTTGCTAAGGAAAAATTAATAAATTAACTCTACGTGGCTACGTATAAATTAAAAAAGTATCATAGAATTTAAAATATTCGTTGGATAAAACAATTTAACCAAGGACGGAATGTTAAACGCGAAAAATAATCGATCTTGATATTTTTCCTTCTTCTCAAGAGATAATGATTCATCTATGCGTTTAATATATTTTAAATAGGCACAGTTTAATACGTACTTCGAGATTTAAAGTTTTTCTATTTTCATTCGAAGATATTTATATATATATATTGTATTACTGAGGAAAAATTAAATAAATTTATAATTCTATACGCGTGTAAAAAGCATATAAATTTTTATTTACGAATTAAAAATTATTGGTTAAATAATTTTAAGGATAAAATATCAAGGATAAAATATTAAAGAATAGGTTAATAATCTTAATGTTTTTCCTTCTTCTCACGAGATGGCATAACGATTTGTTTATGCCTTTGATATATTTTAGTAAATTTTCGTACTGGTTAGATAACCTTTACCAAGAATATTAAAAAGTAGATTAATAATCAATCTTAATCAACAATTTTCCTTCTTCTCAAGAGATGATTAGCATAATGATTCGTCTTTGTGTTTAATATATTTTAAATAGGCACAGTTTAATACGTACTTCGAGATTTAAAGTTTTTCAATTTTCATTCAAAGATATTTATATATTATATTACTGATATGATTATATATATTGTATTACTGAAGAAAAATTAAATAAATTTATAATTCTATACGCGTATAAAAAGCGTATATAAATTTTTATTAACGAATTAAAAATTATTGGTTAGATAATTTTAAGGATAAAATATCAAGGATAAAATATTAAAGAATAGGTTAATAATCTTAATGTTTTTCCTTCTTCTCACGAGATGGCATAACGATTTGTTTATGCTTTTGATATATTTTAGTAAATTTTCGTACTAGTTAGATAACCTTTACCAAGAATATTAAAAAGTAGATTAATAATCAATCTTAATCAACAATTTTCCTTCTTCTCAAGAGATGATTAGCATAATAATTCGTCTTTGTGTTTAATATATTTTAAATAGGCACAGTTTAATACGTACTTCGAGATCTAAAGTTTTTCCATTTTCATTCAAAGATATTTATATATTATATATTATATTACTGAGGAAAAATTAAATAAATTTATAATTCTATACGCGTGTAAAAAGCATATATAAATTTTTATTTACGAATTAAAAATTATTGGTTAGATAACTTTAAGGATAAAATATTAAAGAATAGATTAATAATCTTAATGTTTTTCCTTTTTTTCACGAGATGGCATAATGATTTGTTTATGCCTTTGATATATTTTAATGAATTTTCATATATTAAATAGGCACAATTTAATACGATTACTTCGAGATTTAAAATTTTTTCTATTTTCGATTCGAAGCTAATCTTGTTACTTACGAAAGAAAAATTAAATAAACTTATAACTCTATATACACGTCTAAAAAGTGCATACAGATCTTTGTTTACGAATTGAAAATTACCGGTTAGATAACATTAATTAAGAATAGAATATGAATGGATTAATAATTGATCTTAACTTTTTTTTCTTTCTTTTTTTTTCTATGGAATGACGTATAATAATTCATCGTTGTCACAATTCATTTATCTCAATCTCGCGATTTTCGTTATATACGTATATATATATATATATATCTCTGCCTTGAAACTGGTGAGACTATGACACAACTATTTCCTTAATGATGCAGATGGAGACGTGCTGGTGACGGTACGAGGTTGCGTGCCGTCACGAGAAATCGATGGATACTGCCAACAAACGGAACATTTTCCAGGATCCAGCATTAAGTGCTCCTTTTGCAATGATTACGCTTGCAACAGCCAAAATTCCAATCGTGTTTCGAACAATTTAATATTGATAATTTTAACTTTGATTCCTTCAATAATTCCAATAATATACGTATTTTAACTCTTCTTTTTCTTTTTTTTTTTTTTTTTTTATAATAAAATGGCTAATTTTATGTTTCATATTTTTATAAAATAACTAATTATAAATGGAATAAAATTGAAATTAACTTTTTAACTCGAATGAATATTCTCACGATTCTGATTCTCATCGGATATTTAGAAATATTTCTTTTAAGATCGAAATATTAAAAAATACGTAGAAACGTGGAAATTTTATTACTAAAAATCGAACATTCTTTATATTAGAATCTAATTTAATTTTGTTTAACTTTGATTTGACAAAGACAAGTTAATAAAATTTTCCAGACAACAACGTCAAACCTTTTTCCCCTCAAAATTAACAAAATTCTCCAAAAAAAAATTTCTCTTTTTCTTCTTCCCATAAATTCACAAAATTCTCTTTATAAATCGATAATAAAATTTTCAAATCAACTAATATTTCCAAATCCTCTCTTCAGAAATTAATAACAATTCTCGGCAAAGCTTGCTTTCTTTTTCTCGATTTTCTCATCATAAATCATGATTATCATCATCAACCCCCATTCGGCTCACGAAAAGACGACGACGATAAACATCGATTGACCGGAAAAGGCTGTTGACTTTCAAGCGAGAAATTAAATGGTTTTATGAATGAACAGGGAGACAGTGTAACCTTTGTATCGATGATGCTGGTGACTTACGTCCCGACCAATACCTACAAGGATCGTGCGTACGCGTGCGACGCGCACACATTTACGCACGTTGGGCGCATCTGGTTAAAGGGGGAGGGGTCAAATGCTCGAGTCAATTCGGTAATGTCTCGCGGGGTTAAACGATGACCCTCTGACGAGCAGCCTTCCTTAACGAGTCGGCAAGCCTCACTTTGCAATCTTCTTGTTCCTTCTTCTTGTTCCATATCTGTATTCAATTCGTGCAGCCACAATCATTCCAATGAAATTCGTTTATTCAATATTGTGATAATATTATGAATGTTTATTTAATATCGATTGAGTCCTCGATTTTTAAATTTAATTTTGAGATTGAAAGGAGACTTGACGTGAAAGATTTCCTTTTTCTCTTTTCTTTTTTCCAATGTTTTGAATTTCATCCAATAACGATGAAAATAAAAAAAGGAATATTATATTGAAACAGTTATTGAAAATTTTTTAAGGGAAGTTTCGATTTTTCTTCGAATTAATTAGTTAACAGAAATAAAATATATTACACGTAGTATATATCGAAAATATATTTTTATACGTTTGAAGTTTCTTTTTTCTTTTCTTCTTTCTTCTTTTTAACAAATATTTTCTTCGAACTCTTCAAACTTGGCCACTACACGGTCACAAAAATAAAGTATTGCATATACTTTATCCTATCCCACAATTCTGAAAATAAAGGAGAATCGTGAGTTATTAGGTTATCATAAAATAGGAAGTGAGAAACAACTTCGTCCCAAATCAAAACTATTCAAAGACTATGAATCTTTACAAATCTTTCAAGATTCAGAATCAGAGTAAATCCTCGAATTCCAAACAATCATATTTTTCCAGCATGAAGCTCGTAAGATCCCAAAGAGGGGGAGGGAAGGGGGGAGAGTCCCATAATTGTTCTAACGAGTCCAATGAGGGTCCCTGAAGAGCAATGCCGCTTTCCTTTCTCCCTCTCCCTCGACTCATAATTACCGTTTCGCCTGTTCCCCCTTTCTCTCCTTTCGTTTCTCGCCGCTTCACTTTGCGAATTTAATAAAAAATGTTCATGAAATTAGTCGACAATAATAATAAATAAAACAGTCAGTTTTTGTTTGAATAATTTTTTTTTTCTTTCAAATAAATTAATTATAATTGATTATAGGAAAAACCAGCGTAGTAATCGAATAAACTTTTCTCTTTAATAATTTCAAAATAAAATTTGTAAAATTTAAATAGAGATTTGTCTTATTCTTCAAATATCATCGTGGATATTATACTTTGAATATTTTGCATTTTCTGTAAATTTCTTTTTTACAGTTGAATTTTGCAAGAATGCATTAATTAATCTAGTTATTACTTGTACATATTTTTCTTGATGTTTTTTAATTTTTTTGATTGATTGTAATAAACGATAAATCATCCTCCAGTATTACTTTCACTATGCTTTCGATAAAGCTCCACCTTTAAAATCTTCCAAGTTTTGAAAAGTTGAGAAACTTTTCCGTCGGCTAATTTGAAGCAATCTGTCAAATGAATTATTTATGAAATTAATAATTTTCATCGTCACAACTAAAAAACAAAAAAAAACTTTGAAACTGTATCTCTGCCAAATTATCCCTAAATATTTCTGCAACCGATAATTAATCTTTACTTATCACACTTTAAAACGACGTTTCATCTAAAATTAATTAAAAATTACATAAAAATAAATTATCACTCGTCACTGCCTACGCCACGTAACAATTACGATCTACGCTACGACGTAAAAAAAAAACAATAATGCAATAACATTCTTATGACGCCTAAAAGCAACATTGTTCGAAAAATTTTAACCAATTAATTTTTTTCTTACTCGATCCGACTCCTACTTCCTCGACTCCTTTAGATATCTTATAGAGGGTTATTAATGGCGCGTGAGTCGCGCGTTTATTGGTCCATTCCTTGTGCCTCAAGAATCGAGGAGAAGGAGGACGTCGCCGTGTACATGGACGGACAAAAAAGGGGGTGTTGGCTGTTTCAGTAACGCTGTGAACAGTGACGCTATCAGTTCCTCTCTGCCTATTTCTGAACCACCACATGCCATCAATATAGATTTCGTGATTGGTGTTGATCGATTTTATTTAAGAGGATATCTTGACAAGTAGTGGAGATATGTCGTCGACATTGAGTTGGATATTGGTCGTGTTTGGCGTGATCGTTTCGATTCAATCAGGTAAGTCGACGTAATAATTTAATAATTTTATTTTAAATTTAATTCCTTTTTAAGGAAGAGAGAATTAATTAATCGATTGATCTTGATCTCTGAAGAATTTTTAATTTTTCCCGCCAAATTATTATTATTATTATTATTATTATTATCATGTTCGATAAGTAAAATTCGAAATCGAAATTTTGTTGAATTTGAATTTTTAAAGGATGGTCATCAAGTGATTTTAGATTTTAAGAGATAATAAAAATTTATGAACGAGTATTTTTTAAAAAAATAATATTCGAATTGTGTAACGAGTGTTAACTTTAACTTAAGAACTTGAGAAAAGTTTTTGAAGAACTTTTAATTCTTGAAAATTTTGTAAAGCGAATTTAAATTTTAGAAAAGAATAATTTAATTATTTATTATTCTTTGGAAGAGAAAATTAGTTGATCTTGATCTCTGAAGAATTTTTAATTTTCCCGCCAAAATGCACGTTCAAGTTTTCGAATTGAATATGATAATGTACGTGATTTGCGAAGATATTTGATGAAAGAACTTGATATACTTGTTTCTTTCCATTCGTTTATTTATCATTGGAATTTTGCAATGATTTTAGTTATTATTTTTATTTTAGTTATTATTATGATCTTGTTCGATAAGTAAAATTTCATGAAAATTTGTGAATTTAAATTTTTAAAGGATGATCATAAGTGATTTTAGATTTTAAAATCATAAAAATTCATGATCGAGTTTTTTAAAAAAAAAAGTTTTTTAAAAAAAGAGCATTTATGTAACGAATGTTTAATTTTTGTTAAGAATTAAAAAAAGGTAGTTTTTAAGCATTAAATAAAATCGTTTTTATGGAAACGAAAAAAATTGTGAAACGAATTTAAATTTTAGAAAAAATCGTAATAAATTTATTACTTTGGAAGAGAAGCTAAATCTCTTAATTTCTGAAGAATTTTTAATTTTCCCGCCAAAATGCACGTTCAAGTTTTCGAACAATTGAATCTGATGATACGCGATTTCATAAAAAAATTTGATCCATTTCTTTCCCCCTCTCCGTCCCCCCCCCTCCCTGTTACGGAATGTTTCGAAAGCAAATATTCGAAATTTAATAACGAAACGGGTGAATCAGAATGCGATGGCAATGATGATAGACGATGATTCGATAACAATGGCAGTTGAAATATAGCAGAACAAAGCATTAAGATAAAGTTATTACGTCATTACATTCATTAAACGTTAAACTCGGGCATTAATATTTCTTTTGACTCGTTTGGTCCACTTACGACTTTAATTATTGTTTCTATTTTCTCATTACGCAATCGACCATTGTTATCATCTTATCAAATGCGTTATCAAATCATTTATTGTTACTTGTTTTTTTTTTTTGTTTCTCACGCGATAAAATAAATTAAGTATGATCGTTATTAAATCGTTACGATCGATTGTTCCATTCGTAACACGAATTTTCATAATTTATAAATTTTAACACGTTTTGTAAATATTCTTGATTCAATGCAGGTATATTCCACTTCTATGGATTTTGCTGTAGCAGAAAGGGGAATGACTAATCCATTGGAATATTCCATAATATTATTCGAAACAGACTTTTCAATATTTTTTATTCTAAACAATATGATAATATAAAATGATATTGGATCTCAACAGTTCCATGTGTGCACGATGATATATGCACGTTTAATTCAATTTTATGCAATTGATTGGCATTAAATTAGATTCAGAAAAATGAAAACTCGAAGTAATAAATTTATTTGTTGATATTTGATGATTTTTAAGATTTAATATATTTATTAATTGATAATTGAACAGGTTCAGCTTTACGATGTTGGGATTGCGCTTCCAACACCAATCCTTTATGTGGTGATCCGATGAACGTCACTGATCATCATGGCACATTCCATACAAAAGTATGCGAATCTGGAACTTACGAGACGTCGAAACAAATTTGTCGAAAAATCGTGAAAAGAGGTAACAATAATTGTTTTAAAAATAATCCCCAACGAATATCAAATTAGGCCAGAAGATCGAGAATCAATTTTCTCGATAAAAATTAAGGGAAACAATTAAATTAAAAATTAAGGAAAATAATTGGTGTTTATACGAGGAAGAAAGAAATTCAATATATAAAAAACTTTTGCCAACGAAAAATGCATTTTTGAATGAATATTGTAGCATTGAATATAAATACGAATACTAAAATCCAAATTCTTATAATTTTTTACACTTAAATTATCCTTATATTTAAACCGATATTAATTTTATATCATTCGTACAATTATATGTATGATTCTACAATTAAACATTTAAATATATATTCTACGTTTTAAAAAATGAAATGAAAAAATGGAAAACTTCCTTTGCGTATTTACACAAATATATAACAAACTCGAGACATCCTGTTTAGTCATAATCATAGATATATATGGATGTTCTCAATTCTTACATCAGGGATGACGTACACACGTTGTATGAAATCATAGGATAGTGTAACAAGTTGATCGCCACGGTGCATTGTGTTGCGTTTGTGAGTCATAGCACGTGCTTCTTCACCATAATTGCGATAATTACATATTGACAAGGTCAAAACCGCGCCTATGTCATGGAAAAATCACTTGATGTCATGGAATCATAAATATTGAGGTTAATCGTGTAATTCGAATCCTGGATTTAACGAGTGTAAAAGATTAATTAAATTTGCATAACCGTTAAAATAAAATATCACTTCTCCAAACGTGAATAAAAAGTTGTGTAATGATATTTTAAAATTCGATCAGGAACAATTTGTAGAAAATTATCAATTTAATTTCTAATTTTTTTGTGTTTTTTGCAATGTTGATAATTTTGCAAATATAGAAATCAAATGTTTCAATGATTTTATAATGAGTTTGTATAAGTTAAATAGCTTTTGTGATAAATTTCTCAGATGTATCGTTCGTAGATTCTAATCCTGGATAGATTTCCACGAAATCCAAATTCACTCAAATAACGCAATGTTTCGTAATTACTTCCGTAGTTTGTTGGTGATATTTGGAATCCCAGCTGTTACACAACCTGTTGCACCAGATCGCTCAAACGTAAACACAAAAGGAAACATGGCGTATAGCGTGCTAATATTCGGTTACACGCATGAATCGGAAGTTATGCATATGTTACGTCTGTTTCTATGGATATTTTGGTTATAGATTACATAAATCCTGAAAATCTGCCAATAATTTCCCTTAATGTCACGTTGCAATCGGAAACTAACCATTTCACGACTCGATGACATCGTAGAATTGATCGATCGACATGCATAAATGTCAACATAATTGCACGTATGCTAACGTAGTATAATAAGAGAACACGATGATTTGTAACAAAAGATAATAAAAAATTTCTTGATTCTCGAATAAATTTTTTGAACTTGATTTGATTTTTTTTTTCTTACAGAAAATGGCGAAAGAGTAGTGATTCGTCAATGTTCAACACCGAACGTCGACGAAGCGGACATTGTGGATGGTTCTTGCAGCGCAACCGCGACTTCAATTCGAAATTTAATGGAATGCTATATTTGCAGCACAGACCTCTGCAATTCCGCAATGGGAGTATCGGTTACACAATCTCTCTTCATGGTCACGTTGACTATTATCGGCTACCGTTACCTACAATCGAAATACATCGCCCTTTAATGAAAAACTTTACACTTAACCTATACACATTTTCCACTTTGAAAAATAACCGCGGAGTAAGTGTGCCATTTTAAACGATCTTAAATTATTACCATCTTAAATTATACGAATTGAAACGAAGGTTCGATTATGTGTGTTGATTAATAACAAAACTATTGGTATATTGGTAATAATTATTGGTAGTAACAAAACTATTAATTACTAATCCTAGAGAGCGCAATTTTAAATAATTTTAAATTCAAAAATAGAATAAGAAAAATTCCAGTATCGTAATCTTGATTAATAATCAAATTATATATAATTGGAAATTAATTAAGTCTTCATTCGATATTGGAGAGAGCGCCCTTTTAAAAGATCTTAAATCTAACAATATGTTAATGCTTCATAAATAAATTTTATCACATGTAATTTACTTCTTATCGCGATTATAACCATTTTTTTGGCCAAATTATCGATTAAATCGCTATTCTAGACGTGTGTATCTATTTGAAAATCTTATTAAGATGATAAAACGGTGTATTAAAATGATTTTAAGCGCGCACAAGTTTGTTAACTATTTTATAGTTAGACATAGCTCGTTAGTCACGTATTAAGTAGAACAGGTTGACATATAGTGGAGTAGTTACATCACCGTGCTGAAAGCTTTATTTAATCTAATCGTCTATTTAACGATAATACGATTTCCGTAAAAAAAAAAGTAAAAATAAAAAAAAATTTATATTAAATGAAACGACGATTTTTGTACAATATGTATATAGATTTAACACGTGTGACGTGATTGTATAATAAAGGATTGTTAACTCGATTTTACACTTTGTAATTACGTAGATTTGCAGCCTCTCGAATACTTGCTTTCACGTCACCATTAATAATTCTTTCCGATTCTTTTCTATCGATTTTTTATTCGAATTTTCTTCTCTCGTTAACTTTATTGGTTTAAGCTTTGTCGTTTTCATTTTTTAATCTTGTGTTATTTATGTAATTTCTTTTGTAGTAATACTACTTTAAGCTGAAAAGAAAAAACGAATGAAAAAAGTAGCTTATCAGGAATCCGTCCAATGTATAAGATGATACGAAATTTTGTTCTTTCATTTCGCATTATCTGATTAAAAGTAGTATTTTTTATATTCCATTAAAATTCTTTAATTATTAGATTTGTAGATTAGACATTACGTTTTTCATTGCGATTGAAATTTGCTTTCATTATCGATTCTTTTTTTTTTTCGATTTATTTGTTAATATTAAAAACAATCAATTTTACTATAAATTTTCAAGAAATGATAATTAGAATTTATTTTTCATATTTACAATTTTCTCTACTATAGGAAAATATAATGTATAATGTATACCTATTTCTAAATTTCATTTTCTATCATTTGTGTATAATACTTAATAAATACAAATTACTATTACATTTATACATTAATACTTACATAACATTATAATTAATGCATTATAAATGGCTTATATAAATTTTATGGTAACGTTTAATTTAAAATTAAAATCGATTCTAAAAATACATAATAACATAAAAACAAAATTATAAAGGAATATCTTTATAAAAGTAACTGTTTAAAAAATATTTTCTCGATTGCTACAAGAAGATTGGAACAACGATTTACTTAAAACTAACTTTGCTTACAATTTATTTAAAAAAAAAAGAAAAAATTAATGATGAAAAATGAAAATCGCGCAGCAAAAAAGCCTCTTTTCGAAATTAATAATTATTTTGCTTATCAAAAAAAAAAAAAAAGAAAAACATATAAAAGTATCATGAAACGAGTTTTTCTTGCTTTTCACATTTGTGCTGCACGATGATTTGATATGCTTGAAATTTAAGTTGATTCATGAGTATTGAGTTACAAAAAAAGATTGCAAAAATCAGAAAAAAAATGAGCAAATCTTTTGACAAGTTGAAGTCGAAAAGAATATCAAGTTATTTAAAGAATATTTTACTACAAGACATAGATCTTTTTTTTGATTCTTATAGTTACTTGCTATTCTTTCCTTGTATTTTGCTCCAATTTTATATTATTTCTTACGTATCATTGAATATAATAAGAATATTGAATGAATTATTATACTAAATTAATAAACAATATTAATTTTTGCAACTAATATTGATAGAATATACAATATCACACAGTATCGATAATTATTGAAAATTCTAATAATCTAATTTATAACCTACATATATACCATTAGTTTATTTATTCTTTATATTAATATGTGACAAGGAATAATTTCTCCAATACTTTCTAATCACACACTGTATCACTCATAAATAAGTAGGATCTCAGTGATGAAATGTACACGAAAGAAAATGGCAAATATGTATCCTACTATAGTATATATTCTTCCAGTTCTTTCTTTTTTTTTTCTTTTTTTTTTTTTTTTTTATAAATTGCAATCGAATCATACGTCGAGAAGTATTCTTAATTTCGATTATTCGACGATGGAAATTTGTTAGCAACGGGCTCGCATCTGCACACACAACAAGAAGGGAAGAGAAACCAGTCCATGAAGATACCTTTGCAATCGTTATCAGGGTCGTAGGCGAGCAATCTGTGCCATTTATACTTTTGCTCGCAGCCACAGTCGCCGGTGCACCGATTCGTCTGGGTTTTCCTGAAAACAGGAAACTTTCTCGAAGAAAACTTTTATATTCTCAAATGAAAGTTAAAAGACACGAAAAATATACTTACGAGCAAACTTCTTGGTGAATGGCTTGCTCAAAATGCTGCGTGTTCACGATGGCACGAATCTTTCCAGCACTGTTGCTTGCCCAATAGGGCGTTACTATTTCCACCTTGGACTCGCATGCATCGATTCTGGAAAATTTTTTAATTCAATGCACAAAAGTTGAAAAATCTCGGTGGAGGATATTAATTTTTAATAAATACAATGAATGATTGTAAAATGCAACGAAATAGAAAATGGATTGAAAGAAAAATTACGTGAAAATTCTGATACGTTTGAAAAATTCTGTTTTATAATTTTTTGAAAAGCTCATCATCTGCATTGAATGCAAATTTCATTTGAAATTTTCTCTTTTTTTCGTAAATGAACATTGCATTGAGAGAGAAAATTCTTTTATAAAAAATTTATTTTCAAGAGTAATTTTAAAAAATTCTATTCTCGAATTTATTTGCACTTTCAATATAATATAATTGAATGATTCTGACAAATATTTCTTTTTATTTTTGAAATCATTTGCATTAAACGTGTAAGGATTAGAATCTTAGAATTTGAAACTTTCCATTAAACTTACTTAATGTGAACTTTTTTGAATTTTTCAATTTCAAATGAAAAATTTATGACAGAATAGGAAATTCTCGTGACACGAAAATCATTAAAAGTGTAAGTATATAGAATCTTGAATTTAAAACTTTCCATTAAACTTAATTAATTACTTTTTCCTTATTTTTGGAACTCTCGAATCTCAAATTCCTAAACAATTATATTTCTGGTTTGAAAAAATATTAAATTTTCTCCATAATTTCCAATAATTTGTATATACCTGCCGCTGTCCTTATGATTTTTTCCGGGAGACTGTCTAGGGTTTCTAGTTTTTCTCACATTGGCGAAAAATGAGTCACCATTAGCCTCGATTTCCGGATCCAATTCGTCCCGGAAATTGGGTCCACCATCAGGTATATCGTGTTTCACAGCTTCTCTACTTTTCCTTCTTCTACGTGTACGATGATGGCCAGTCTCTCTCGTTGGTGATCCGTATCCCGAACTCATTTCGAAGTCACCATACATTCTCTTCATTAACGCCTTGTTTTCGTCGATAAAACGCTCTATCCGCTCTCTAAAAAAATATATATATTTTATTATCTTTGTTTTATTATCTCGTGGACATTCTGCTCACCCATTACAAGCCTCTTAATGAGATATTTATATCGTGATTAAGAAAAATTTAGATCTCTTGATTTTTCTTTTTTAACTTAAAAAATCAATGTTTTTCTATAATAAGATAGTCATAACTTAACAGCGGATCTTTATATTTTAATTTCATAAATTAACAATTAAAGAAATAGAGTTTAAATAGAAATTATTATTCTTCTTATTCTTCTTCTTATATTCTTCATTATATTCTTATATTTTTCTTATTCTTCAAATATCATATGTAAATATGTATTATACCATTTTATTTTTTTTTTTTTATATCAAACTCTAGATTTTTCTATAATTTAAATTTTGCATAAATGCGTAAACATCTACAATTTAGTCACAAGAATAATTATAAAATATCAATAAACTATCAGAATAGAGTAATTACATGGGATATGTGTTTCCAGCAGTTGGACAGAACAGTTGATGATATTTTTTAATGCACGGTACTCCGCGTACCAAATCTCCTCTTAATTCGACACCCAGAGCGACGGAAAGTGCAGTCCAAAGAATCTGGAAGAAAAATACAACGCGTTTAAGATCTGTTCAAAAACAATAATAATTATGGCATGATGACGTGAAATTCAATGTCACGAGAATAATAATAAGTATAATTTGTAGATTGTACGAGACCTACGCATCTTCGTGTATTCTTCCAGAATAATGGTGGTAGAACTATAGGTAAAATATAGTTAATAATGACGCCTACGATCGATCGCAAGGACGTTTCCATGGAGGAGACAATTGTGTCGCAGTGAACTAAGTGTGAATAACACTTGACTTCCAATGGAACTTGAAATGTAGTAGAACATCAGAGTTGAAGTCGAGATATCAATACAATTTTGAGACTAAAAAAGAATTATTATTTTGAGACTTTTGAGAATTATTATTTTTTGCTGCAAATAGTAACTTTCAATGTAGAGTCCAAATTGTTAAAAATTAATTTTAATTGTAATAATTTTAGAAAGTTAATAATTGAAGGTTTATATTTGAAAGTAAAATTCTTGAGAATTGTTTTTTCTGTGTTGAATAACTTTTAATTTTCTCAACGTAGCGTCCATTGGCAAAAATTAAATTTAATTAAAGGTACAAATATATATTCGAAAATAAAACTCTCGAGAGTTATTTTAAATTGAAACTAATTGTTCGAAAATAACTCTGATTCTCAATGTAGTGCCCATTAAAAAAAAAAATTAATTTTGGAAAATTAAAATACATTCGACGATGAAATTTTTGAAAGTTATTTTTTGCTACATTGAAAAATTTTTTGTACAGTTTGAATGTACATTAAAAAGTTATTTCTTGTCAATAGACTCTTCGAGTGAGATAATTTAATAATTCTTGGAATATCGAAATGTCAACGATCCTTATCCACTGTTTCAACTTTATGATTAATTTTCCACGTACCTCGTGGAATTTGTAATTGCCGATTGTACCGGAAGTCGGGTCCGCCAATGATTATCATCCTACGCTCACGTCTCCATCGAACGATCAGTAGGCGTCATTCAGTGACTCGAGTAACTTCAAACCGTTGTATCCAGGGGAAAATATGATGCATTGCGAGGCAGAAATGAATCATGCCTCGCATATCTCGTGAGTACATGAACTTTTTATCTTTTAATAATTTTTGAGATATCTTTTAATAATTTTTAGAATAATGATTCATCTCTTATATTTTTTAAGAGAAAAATTGCTGGTTCAACAGGAAGAAAACATTGACTAAAATGAAAAAAAATAATGTTTATGTAATAATTATTCGGTAAATTTACGTGAAAAATTAGCAAGATTTTAATAATTATATATCGTTTCATACCGTGTATTTTCGAATCGAATTCGAACGATTTACTTATACGAAGTGGAATATCTTAATTACAGTGGAATAGGTAGGCCTGCACAATAATCAAAAAATACGACGCAAAAATCATGATGGAACATGCGAGGAAGGTTAATCGTAATTTTTAACTTTCAATGATTGGATCGAGGACATCGGATCGCTTCCGAACTGTAATTCAATATTGTCAGTCGTGTTACGTTGTCACGTCGTTATGTCATTTCACAATCGATGCTCGATCGAATCGATTGATCTCAATTTTGACTGTTATTTATTACCACATCGTTCGATCTCCATGTTTTAATTTTTTGAAGTTTATTTACACGTATGAAAATCTATATTCCTATCTATAGTCCAATATTGAAAAATTTTTCGATGAATTTGTAAGCAAAATATCAATCCTCTCGCAATGAAATCTCAACATTATTTATTATTCTGGTTTCAATTTTTTAAATTTGAAACAACAATCAAAATAACAATCTTCTTGCTACAATTTCTTCTAATATTATCTACTATTATTAAATTTTTCACGAATTTTTAAACCTACCTTTCATTTTCAACAAATTTCTAAAACATAAATCGACTTCCCTTTTCCATCAAACCTTCAAAGATTCTTCCTTGATACTTTTCATATTCACAACATTACTAACAATTTCTCATAACATACCACATTAATTGAATTTATTCAAATAACCTACGAAGTGGCGGGTTCAAGAGGTTATGGTTTCAATGCCAGCGCACCACGATTGACCTTAAGCCGGTATCGCATTGCGCCGATTCTTTCCACATCGTTCGAATTACACGCACGGTAGGTAAGAGTGGAGACACGAAGAGAGGAGATGGGCGGGTGTAAGTGCATGCACCCAATCGACTCTGCGAGATTCTAGGGAAGATACACGGGGTCATGGGTGGCCGGTGAAAATGTCACGCTAGTTGATACAGACTTTGAACGTTCCTGTAGCCACGGCCGCGTTCGATCACCTTTCAAACGATCCTCGAACAAGTCGATTTCAAGTACGAGACGCTTTCAAGGAACAAACTGTGAGGAGAATACTGTGTTTCGTGTCACCAATGAAAAACATTTCTGAAACTGGTAAACTTGCACCGCTTGGTTAAGGTTAATTGATTTATTTTTGAAAGGTAATAATGTTTCGATAATTTGTGTTTCGTCCATTTTGTCCTTCTTTGATTAAATTTTTTATCATTTTCATGGTAAACATAGGTTTGTTCATTTGAGAAATTTCAAAGAAATTTCGAAAAAATAAAGAAATGAATTTTTATTCTTTTTTTTTTTATATATATATATAGTATTTTAAGTGATTAAGTCGCATATTGCAAGTGAGAAAGATTCATTTATTCGAATGAATATAAAATTCACTAAAATAAATCGTTTTTTGAAGAGATTGAATAGATTGAATCTAATAAGGTAAAATTTATATTTATCTAAATAAATTAAATTTATAAGTTATATTGAATGTAGAATTTCAAAGAATTAAAATATTCTTGGATACAAAGGAAATGTGTATCATCATTGTTAATAATGAAATATCATAAAGATATTTAAATTTTTTTGCGAAAAATAAAAATTCTTTTGAAAACATTAAATATGGATAATAAATTAAATCACAATTAAGTTTCAATTTCGTTTCATTATCAATATTAATTATTCCGAATATTAATTATATATCTCTCACGAGGTATAGAAATATTTTTAATTATATTTTTAATTATATATTAATTGATGGAATTGTTTCACTTGTAATCTTTGTATTTTTATTTCCAACTAGCGAATTTTCAATTTAAAACAATAATTGGCAAGAAGCAAGATCTTTATTGAAAAATTGTAGAAAAAGTATACCTGTCATAAAAATAAAAGACATACACGTGACCTAATTTTGAGATTGTGAGGTTGTCTAACAAATTTGTTGAAAGTTCCTTTTGTATCTTGATACAGAATGTGTCTACGTTTGACGAAATCCACTTATATATTCCACGTCTGTAATTCGTGCGTGAACAGTAAGTATACTTTCTACTCAGAATGAATTCTTCCGTTCTAACAGTCTGAACACTATTGTTGCTCAGTATTTAAGAAATGTTAAATATAAGAATTGTTACAATTCTCGATATTATCGCAAATTTATATTATATTTATCATATATTTTCTGCTCACAATGAATTCTTCTGCTCTAACAATCCATGAGTCACACCATCGTTATTCAGTATTGGTAAAAAAAAAAATATTACAATTCTCGATATTATTGCAAATTTATATTACATTCATCGCATATTTTCTACTCACAACGAGGTTCTTCCGCTCTAAAAACCTGTGAGTCACACCATTATTATTCAATATATTCGATTGAGAAATGTTACAGTTCTCGATATTATCACAAATTTATATTAGAATTATCATATACTTTCTACTCACAACGAATTCTTCCGCTCTAACAGCTTATGAGTCATACAATTACTCAGCATTCGTAAGAATCGAATGAAATGAAATATCATATGATTCTCGATATTACTACAAATTTGTATTCATATTTATTATAAAATTTATATTTCTCGTGAAAAATATGAAAATAATGATTAAATATTTTTTTTTTCCAACTTACCGGAATTTGTACGTAAGTACCATTGTTTAGTTGAGGATAAGAATACAGTGGCACTACGGGGACCGAGCCGTTCTTTAAAAAAATTGGGCCTTGAATGGGCGTGACGTGCGCATCCCTTGGTATCTCTGGATCTTTGTCGTCGTAGTAATCCTCGAAGTCGTCATCATAGTCTAAAACAGCGTGAATGGAAGTTTTTGTACCAGGTCCACTTTCCCCGTTTACTCTCGTATACCTTTAACAAAATTTTTTTTTTCCAGATCAGTAATTCAGTTATGAAACACTTGATGATAAACTGATGGAAATCTTTGAATCTTTAAGTTTCGAATCTTTAATCCTTGGATCTTTGATTCTTTAATTTTTGAATTTTTAAATCTCTTGATGCTTGGATCTTTGAATTTTTGTACTTTTAAAATTTTTAAAATCCTTAAATCATTGAATCTTGAAATTTCTAAAATAATTTCAAAGATAATATTATTTTGATGAATCACCTATATAATATAAAGCATAAAATAAATATTACACAATTCAAAAAATTGAATATATAAAAACAAAAATAAACCACAAAAAGATACCTCGAGAAGGAAATTGCGAAATTATCAAGATATAATACGTATAATGATCTGCGACACGGCGCAGAAATCAAAGGGACAAACGTATCTTATCCTTTTGCGATAATTGTCAGCAAGTTTGAGGCAAAAAAATATCGCTATACCTCATATGGTTGACACGTTCATATTAATAATACATATCTGGAGTACAGTACAGAAAGAAGCGAGATCGATGACATAATTTCCCGCAGAAGAGGAAAGTGAGGGTCGAGTAACTCGCACGAGTCGAGTTGTTGGCCAGAAATTCATTAGGAATGCACGGCACGCAGCAAGAAACTGTTCGACTGATCGTTACATAAATAATTACGATTGCGATTAAGATTACTACTACGAAATGTTTTTTAGCTGATTTCAATGGTGGATTCGAAGCGAAAATATCGGCTTATTACTCGACTTTAATTAATTATTGTAAAAAAATAGAGTATAAACAAATTAACTCATCGTTTAATTCAACTTAATCTTTCTATATTAATTTTCAATATGCGATACATTTCAATTATTTTTAAAGAAATTTTTATAAAGAAATTATTATATAGAAATATTATGTAGAATTATTATATAGAAATTTTTGAAAGACATTGGATTTTTCAATATGGCCATTTCAATTATTCTTATTTAAATGGATCGAAGTTTTTGTGAAACCTTGAATGAATTATTCAATTTTATTTTTAATAACTGGATTGCAATTTTCTAGGCCTTCTAACTCTTCGATGTGCACATTTCAATTATTTTTATTTCTATTAAATTTTTTAGAAATTTTCCAAATTCTATATTTCTTCCTCTAAAATAAGCTGACAATCACTTTCATGAAATGAAAAGAATGCTAGAACACGATAAAATCACAACAATAAACAAAAAAACATTCAAAGTAAAAAACAAAATCAAAATACAGATACAACAAAATTACCCATTAGGTCTGTCAGGATAGCTTTCCTGTTCCGGCATTCTCGACGTTCTGAAGTTCTCTTGCTCCTTTTCCACAGTTGCTCGTTGTTGTTGCTGTTGCTGTTGCTGTTGCGGCAATGGCGGTGCGCTAGGTCTTATCTGTTGCCTCGGTTGCGTTCTCCTGAAATCTTGATTGTAGTTCGCGTATCTCGTGTCCTGAGTCGAAGAAAAGGAGGAATGCTCGACGTACGGATTCCCGTTCCTTTGTCGATTGAACGTCGATTGACGTTGCCTTTGCTGTTGCTGGTTTTGATAACCGATCGGCGGTATGTAAGGCTCGTTTTGGAACGGTTCCTGCTCGTTGAAATTTGGGGCTGGCGCGGGGGGAAGCACGGCGTTGAGGCGAAGGTTGTTCACCGTCGATTGCCCTCCGTTTTGCCCGTCGTAGAAGAACGGTGTAGGCGTCGCCGATTGATACGGCAAGGTAAAGTTGACCAGTGACATTTCTATTCCTTCTTTTTTCCCCCCTTTTTTTAGTCTGCAAACAAATTGCGAAGAAAACTTTGACAGTGTTTTATAATTAAAAGAATTGTTTGTTGTCATTGTGTAGATAAATTAATAATTTAGTTTGGTTTTTTTTTTTTTGTAAATTGATAAATATTGTAGTGAAATTGAAAATTAAGGGAATTGAAAGTGTTGCTGCTTTGAGAAGATTTCAGAACATTGATCAAAGAAAATTCCTGATCGTTTTCTAATTAAATTTAATTGATTAATTCGATTTGGAACTGCATCAACTTTAATTTCTAATGATGGGACAGTTAATGAATGAATAACATCTGTTGAAGAAATAATTAATCATAATGGAATTCTTATTGAAATAATCATTAGATTATCAGTTTTTAATAATCGAAATTGATTTAAATTTCTATAATTTAATATATAAGAATCAAATTCAATATTATTAAATTCAGGATATTCATATGATCAATATCATTGATGACCAATTGATTTAATTGAAAAAAAATGGATTAATAATTTCATCAATTAAATAAAAAATTTTTAATGGTGGAAAACAAATAATTAATTGAACAATAATTGGAATAATTTCAACAATAATTGTTCAAATAATTTCAATATTATGATTTTTTAATAAAAATAAATTTGAAAATTTATTTAAAAATAAATCTATAATAATATAAATTGTTAATGTTGAAATTACAATAATAATTACTATAATTATATTATGAAATGAAACTAAATTATCTGCATAAAAAGAATTTGATTCTTGAAATATAAATATTATTCATGTTGAAATATTAATAAATTTAAATTTATTAATTTTAATAAAAGTTATAACTTTATAATTAAAACTTAAATTCAATGCACTATTTTGCCATATTAAAATTTTGATAAAATTAATTTAATATTTAAATTTTTAATTAATAATGGAATTTCAATATGAAGGAATTATATAAAGGAATTTTGTTGATCTCTTTGAAAATAATTTGCTTTGTAACATATGACAATTGAAAAATAATAAAGAAATTTTGTCAAAGAAACTTTTTGGATTATTGTATGGATCAATAATTTACTTTTTAATATGTAAAGAAATTGAGAAAATGGAATTGGAAATTGAATATTTTATTGCGTTAAGGCATAAAAAATTTGTTTAATCTCTTTGAAAAGAAATGAATTTAAATGAATTTAAATATATATAATAATTACAATTCTAAAACTTACTATATATATAGATGAGAGATTTGGCACAAAAACGTAAAATCAACGTGCTTCAGTGATAAATTTTCAAAAATTTGCAAAACTTTGATTGTGATCTTGATCGTGCAAAAAATCACCTCTCATTATCATAAACTTCATGATTCAACCATTAACCGATTATTTTGTGATTATTGTTCGGGATCTCGGCAGTAAACCGTGCATTAAAAATTTGAGCAATCGATTTCACTGTATAATTGAGTTAATAGCACCTCTTTAAACGTGTTATCTTTTTCACCAATCTTAATAACGCCTCGATTTCGTCCAAGTATTCAACGTCGTTTTTCGTTTTACGATATATGGCAACATACTCGGTTACACGTAATGTTATTCGAAATTTTTTCTTCAGATAGGAAGGGAAAAATAAGTTTGTTCGATGAAAATGAATGGCTTCTTCCTTCCTCTCCTTTGATTTTCCCGCGCAGCGTTTCTGTTGCCTCGAGAGATCGATCTGAAACGATAACGAGAAGTCGATATATATGCTCGTTGAGACATTGAGCAAGTATTATCGATCATAATTGTACGATAATATCACACTGAAGAGATAAAATATGATAGTATATTTTGAGAAACGATAAATATTAACATTAAATATTAGTTAAAATACATTGTAAGAATAATTAAACATATTTGTGAAACATTTTTAAAGACTTATTTATTTAAACAAATTAATTCGTCAAACGATATTCAATTTGTTTTTTTCTGTATATTGTGCGTAGTATTTCAAATGTTATAATCTTTGAGTTATTTTTACAATTTTTATGTATTTAGTTTTAAAAAATAATTAAAAATGAAAGAAAATGTATCATACAATGCATCGACTTCGTACAATAATATCATCAATATCTTTTCTGAAGGGTTAAGTTTCCATTGAAACAGTTCTATTTCTGTCACACTGCTGTAAACTTAGATTAAACTATTTATAACTCAATAAATAAATCTCACCCAAAATTTTGTTTCAGCCTCTAGAATCGAATCTCATCAAAGATATCAATTTTGCCAAAAGTATTTGTCAATTTTAAGTAACAATAATAAAAATCTGGAAGTCAATTAGTCAATTTGACTTGGTCTCTAGTACATTTTAATATTAAGTTACTATATACGAAATATTTCCTCGAAAGATAAATAAAAATTGTAATTTACATTGAAACCACACTTTTCACCAAGAACCATAAGAATGAATAAAAAGTAATGTAATAAATCTTTATAATGTGGCAAGGTATACGTTACTTAAAAATACATGTATATATGTATATATATCTATATTTGACAGTCAACAACTGGTAACATCTTTATGAAGGAAAATTATGCGAATACGTTGGCGTATGCGTGGTCACGCAATTGTTCGTATACGAGATTTTGCGCGCGTGTACCACGTGTGTTTCGAATATGTCCACCGTAAAAAAGCCATGCTTCACAAATTAAAAAAATTCTCTCAATTCATCTCATTCGTTACGAACGATGATCATTTATCACTTTCGCCGTTCGGAAGATCACTTTCTTCGAAATCGAGTATGTAAATCGAGTATGCTTTCACCAAAAATTGGGCTCACACCATGCCAATAGATCTGCTTTCCATTTTTCGTAACGTCATTAAATTATAATTTAATTTGTCCAAATTATTATCATTGATTCGTAACGTTGATAATTAATTAAATACAAAACATAATCGCATCTTTCATTGATTATAATCATTTAATTGGATTCAAAAAGAGTCTCAATGATAATGATCTCGGTTTTTATATATTCTTTAAAAAGATAAATGATCATAAGTTCAACGTTAGAAAACATGTTTTAATTTCGTCGATTTTGATCTATAGGAATATCTATAAAAAAAAAAAAAAAAATTTAATCAAATATTTTATTTTTTCAAAAAGGATCTGAGCACCTTGAAGTTCCTTCTTGCAATCCAACATTACAATTATAATTGTGATGCATGGTTGCAGAAAAAGATTGTTCGAAGCAAAAATGTTTTCAGCCTGTTGCTAATTTTGCGTTTGGATGATTCGAGAGGTAACCTGGCACGTGGATTAAGACCTCTGCTTATTTTATTTATGCGCGAGACGTGTATGTTAATTGAGCAACCAAATGAAGATTGCCGGAAGCCAAAGTTATCAATTGAAGGCTAATCATTTGGATTCTAGATTTTCCTAGAAAGTTAAACTCTATATATATATATATATAATTTTAATCATGTACTTGGCATCAGAGTTGGGCGCTAATGAACTGATTAAATTAATTAAAATTTTGAATAAAGTTACTTTGAGTAAAAACTTACTATTATTATTTAATTATTAATCAATTCATAACTACTACATACTATAATAGTCTTTCTAACTTATATACTTTAATTAATCAATTAAAAATAAATGAAATAATATACTCTGATTGATAAATCATTCAAAGTAACTTATATTGAAATAACTTTATTCATAACTTCATTAAAATTTTTCCTATCTCTGGTGGCGTTAAAAATCAAAAAAATGTTCAGAAAGTAAATCAATTTGAATTCCAAATGACAGAATATTTTCAATAAATTAATCACTATTTTCGATCGAACAAATCGGAATATATAGATTTATCAGAATCACGCGTACATGAGAATACACTTTCTTTCAAATAAACAATCGCAAAAGAATCTTGCAAAATTTCAAAGTATAAAGAAAAATCTTCTAACCTCAAACATGAAAATCAGCTTAACGTATTCGGTTAACGACATACCTGATATATCGGTACAACGATCCGTTCACCGTTTCGGAATTTCCAAAGAGGCCGACGACGAGCAGAACGGAAGCACCGGTGTGGACACGCACCGAAACAAAAATCTCATCTGTCGCTTTCACTTTTCGATATTATCGGCCGATTATTTTTCTTGTGCGACGAGAAAAGTTATCAGTGAATTTTCGTGGGATACGAGTCGTACGAGGAAGATGGAAGAGGAAGAAATTCAAGTGTTGCGTTCGCAAAGGGAACGAAACACGTGGTCGCTCGTGTGATGTATACGAGTAGCTCGTCACCGAAATCGCCGAAAGGCGTGCGTGACACCGCGCGAAACGCTGGGTTGGCGAGCAACAACTGAAGGAGAAGCTGTTTTAACCAACTCGTCGCGGAATGGGGATAAAGAGAGGTGTCCCTCGTTCATGAAGAATAGCGTCGACTGCGAGCTTTCTCTCTCGCTTTCCGCTCCTTCGTGTCCCTCTCTTCTGTCTCGATACCCCTACCTTTTCATCCTTGCTTCACCTTTTTGTCTTCGGATGATGATCGTTTAATGGAGCATTCGCTCGTTCGAAAGCGGTTTTCCCGCCATTTTCTGTTCATCCATCGTTTCGCAGGATTTGCTCTTCTTCTTTTTTTTCTTTTTCTTTTTGTCAATTTCAGTCTCTTATGAATTAGTAATCGAGATTAGATGTATTTTTTTTTATTGGCTTTTTCCTAAAAAAATCGTTTTGTGCAATTAATTGAGAGATTAGGAAGCAAGAATCGTTTTGGAAGATTTTTTTGTTTTTTGTTTTCTTCTCTCGTTATTTTCTGGGAATTTAGAAGAATTGGAGGTTTTATTCTGGTTTTTCTCACCATTTTATGTGAATTAATTGGGATTAAAAAAGTATCATTTGTCTTCTTTTTTTCTCTCTCGCCATTTTTTGGGGACTAGTAATCGAGATTGGAGTATTTTTTCATCCTTTGCTTTTCTTGCATTTTATGTGAATTGGAATTAGAAAAGAAGAAGCATTTTATTTGTTCTCTTCTTTCTATCATTTTCTATGAATTAATCTAAAAAATCAAATTTCTATAAATTATTTGTATCAAATAATAAAAATATTAGAATTTAATTGTACCTACTTAATGATTAATCATTGTGATTTTTGTATAATTTTCTTTCTTGTTATTTTTTTGGAAATTATTAATTAAGATTGAAGAAGAATCATTTTTAAACATTTTTTTTATTCTTAATTTTCCTATCATTTTAAGCAAATTAAAAAAAAAATCATTTTGTCCGTCTCTTTTATTTGAGAGAAAAATCGTTTTGTATTCTTCTCATTTTTTTGAAAATTATTAATTAAAATTAGAAGAAAGTTATTTTAAAATATTTACTCTTCCTCCAGCCATTTTCATTTAATTAAAAATCTGCAAACAATTGAACGAATAATAAAAATTGAAATTTAATCATATTTACTTATAATTAATATTAAAATATTTGTACAAAGTTTTGCCATTTTCAGAATTTAATCTTCGATTAAGAAAAAAGAATAGAAAAAGAACGAAATTTCATACTCACCGATCTAATAAAACAAAAACGAACGAATAAGAAAATCGCTTAAGATTTTATAAATCAGAGAAATCTTAAAAATCATCATTATCAACTGCTATTCCATTACTCTCGTACAAAGCGTTCGAATCACATCCATTACGCCATTTAAAAGTAATCGGTCCGTTTCAAATCACCTCTTTCTTTCCAACCAAACCTGCAATTCACTCTCTCGTTTACATCCATCTCGCAATTCGATCTCACGCTTCGTTACCACCGTTCAACACGAGCACCAAGATTCGCACCAAGACTTGAATCTAGTTAAAAGAAGAAGAAGAAGAAAAAGAAGAGGAAAGATGGATGGAAACATATCATACAAGCTGGAACCGTATCGCAATTATCACAATCCTATCACGTGCTTAGCATCGTTACAACCATCCTCTCCTCCCATCGAGCCTCGTCGTCTCTCCTCTGTTCGAGAGAGGAAGACATTTTTATCACGAGAGTGTGCCTTCTCCTCTCGAATCCCTAGATGCACCGCGCTCCGGAACCTTTCATTTCTTTACACGTGGAACGAGTATAACTGTATCGGAATCTCCAAGAGGCCCACCTACGTTCACCTTCTGCATGATCCACGTATGTTGAATGTACTTCTCTCTTCAAAAAGTTAATCGAATCTTTTTTCTTTTCCTTGCGCCCGGCAAGGAATGCACTCTTATCTATGAACAGATTAAATTTTGCAAAGTCTAAGATAGATTTATTAATATCCATATTAATATTTCTTTCATTTTTCTTGGAAAATATCTTTTATTTATATTATTGATAGTTTCAAAGAACAATTAACGTGAAATTTCTCTTTAAACTTGAAAACTAAATTAATGGTTGACACGTTAAAACAAGTGTGTGAAAAGAATGTTTTGAAGACAGCGTTTTGAATCATTTACAAATGGATGAAAAGACGACGTATGCATATTGAAACCGTAAAAAAACGATCAGAGTTTTGAACAGAGTTTCACAAGAAGGTTTCCAACATTTGTCTGAGCAATGGAAATTTTACTGGAACAAAAAAAAGTATATATTCAGTAAGGAGACTATGAAAAAAATATTATTGATTTGAAAAAAGTTGATGTATTAACTTTTTGAACAGAATAGTATTCTTCCTTCCAAATCTTGTTTCCCAGATTTTGAAATTGAAGCCATTTTTTGAAGTTTGAAATTTTTAAAAAAATAGAAAAAGTTGTACAAAATTTTAACAAAATATATAAAAATTTCAATTGTTAAATGATATGAATTATATAAATGAGTAAAATGATATGAATTGGTTAATTAAACATTTGGGATATGCTATTTGTGTATTTCTACTTATTTCAATTTTCCAAGCTGGGTTGAGAAATATTCCCTAAAGAATTAAAACGCGAATATACGTTCAAGGAAATGTATCTTTAGTCAAGTCTCAAGGCTTTTTCTCTTTCCATGCTATTTTCGTTCGGTTGCTGTTGATACATGGAATCGATATGCTTAAAAAAATTGTTTAAAAAATATTGGTAATGATAATTATTATAATATTTAATTTCGAAAATTTAAATTCGAAACTTAACGAGGTTACTTCTTTTGTTTCTTTTTGTGCAAAGCGATCTGTGCAAAACGATACAAGTGTCATAATAATCGTTTTCATGCGAATCGCATAATTACCACTTTGATCGTAATTTCTACGTTGACACATTCGATTTGTTTGAATGAATATATGTGCTTCATGACCAAGATAGAAATCGCAAAATTATAGATTTTTCTTCATCCCTCTTTCCTTGTTATTGGTGTCCTTAAAACACCAGTAACGATTCACTCTCTTTATCTTTTTATACCTGAAACAAAATTTTCTACACAGAAGAAAAACATACGATATTAAAAAAAGATTTAATATATTCTCATTGTCAATACCTTAATCCATATCCGCATCGAGCTATCTAAAATGAAATAAAATAAGAACATTAAAAAAAATCAAGATATGATCTCCAAGAATAATGAATTTTAAAAATAGATTTTTTAAATCTCACGTTTGCAACCGCTTTTGTTTCGAGGAATATAATCGATTTTATCGCACGCTATCAAAGAAAGATCGATAAACATCGACTTGAAACGACGACAAAACAACTTCCTGTCAATTTCTGCTCCACCCACTCTACAAGGATTTTATCTGCCTTAGGCATGTTTGTTGCAAGAAGCTGTGAACACATTAAAAAACATTACTATATTAATCATGCAGATTATTTACGAGATTAATTTTTTCACTCTAATGAAATGAAACTGGATTAAATATTTCAAACTTGTTGCTCAGAATTTTTTCAACGTAACTTATAACTTTTTTTTTAAAGTAACTATTCTTATTCAAATCTTTCCTAGAATTAAAACAGTTATATATATAAAACGTATTGAAGTTAATATCTTATCACTGTATATCAATGATATTGTGTAACGTAGAAATTTTTGCTGTAATTTTTTTTTTTACTGAAAAGCCGCATATGTGTCAATGCGATCCTGTGGTTTATCTTACATTTCGATTGGAAACATTTCAAAAAACGTATCGCAGAAATAATGGAAACCTTGATTACGATATTAAATTATAATTAATCGTACACGAAATATATTTGGATTAAATTAATTCATTTACATATATTCCATTCTTCTCTGATATTATGCGAAATAACACTCGAGTTTTCACGAAACGTTTTATCGAACGTTTAATTTCTCATTTAAACCAACAATAGGAAATTAAAGAGTAAACAGTGCAAAATTATCCCATATTGCGCGTGTACCACAGATCTGACCCCCTTTCATTGTCAGTCTTTTCTTCGGGTTCACTGGCGTGTGTCGATTCACGCGGCATGCACGTTCCTAGTTCTGACGTTTTCGATGCACTTGACGCATACCGTATTACAATCCTGTTTCATTATTACATTATCAACTCATTACTATTCTCAGAATCTGTAAAACAATTAAAAGAATATATTTTTCTCTTATCGTTGTATGAAATAATTACGTATCAATGGTTATTCTACTTATATAGTATTATACTTATATAGTATAACGTTATAATTTAATTTATTGAAAGTGATGTAATTTAAGTATTTAATAATAATACAGATTAAGAATATGAATCTTTTTTTTTGATGATTTTTTTTTCTTACCGCCAGACGAAATAATTAGTATAGATAATCTTGAATTTTTGTTTACTATACACATTTTAATATACAATTTAACATTAATGAAGATTCTAACCTAGAATTGAATTGAATGTTTATTATAAATTAAAATATAATCAAAGGATTCTAATACAATCAGTTTAATTCAAGATAATAATGCATTGAAAATTTTTATGATATCTTTTTCTTATCATCAGATGAAATAATTAATATTAATAATCTTGAATTTTTCCTTTAATGCAATATTAGTGCGGATTAAAATTATTTTGAATTGTGTATTTTTCTTTTTGTTCGACAATCGATTTTATCATATAGTATCATATAGAATCATACCGATTCGTGTTCTTTAAAAAACAAATTAGCATCGCTCGTAATTAATTAAGTAAGATAATCCGACTGATCTGAAATTGAGGTTAGATATTTACCATTGCGGTAGATCAGAGTGATCTATACCTATGGAACAATCATAATCTCGATTTCTAAGAAATTGCAATTTCATATTTGTCATGAACATTTTCGAAAATTGTTACGATAAAAGAATAAAACTATCATTTTAATTTTGTAATTTTTTTTTCTCATAACACAATTATTATTTTAATCCTTTCTAATTTTTTTACACCAAAGGATCGATTAACTTATGTTTATCATTAATATTGGAGTTTTGAAAAGAGAGTCACGTGTGATAAGAAATTGGTGAACAAACATCAAGAGCAAATGAACTTCAGAGAGTGCGCGTATATCGTTACACAAAGTGGTGTAACCCCGTAGAAAAGCTTGAAAGCGGACCAGATGCCTGCTGTGCAAAGGCCCGTGATAGGTATACTCGGTTCCTTGTGCAATCAACAATGAACGAGTGCAAACGGTTGCAATATAACGTAGTACGAGGGACACGTGCAAACACCTTTCCTTACCCTTGGAAGAAGGAAGCCTCTGAACAAGATCGAGAATTATTGCGACCACTTTCCATCCAATATATAACGCAGATAGGTGGTGACAGGTAAAATTCTAGAAATTTAAATAATATTTAATTTATGAAATATTTTATAACTTATATCGAATCATAATTAAATTTATATGAATATCATGAAAAAAAAATAAATTGTGATTAAATTTATGTAGATTAAAACGATTTGACTTATCTTTATCATATATTGTCAATATAAATTTTGTTTTATTATTTTGTAATAAATATATATGGTATATTGTAAAAGAGAACAAATTCAGGTCTCTGAGTGTGTTAAACTCGTTTGTAAAGATGTATCTTAAAAGATCTCGTTCTCTTTACGTAAAGAATTACATAACTTTTATTCTCTGCAAAATACATAACGAAACCACCCAAGACGGATCAATTTTTAATTTTCCGTTCAAATAAATTCATAAATGAGTCATGATGTTATCGATTCTATACATTTTCGATTCAATACATGAGATATACTTAGAAAAAAAATACATTTTCTGATATCTTTCTGAAATAAATATTAAAAATGAATAATTATTCTTAATTTGACAAGTATTACATAACCTATATCGAATATATTTGTAAAATCTCATTAGCAAAATTAATACATAAATTACACAAACATAATGTGAATATATTTGATAAATTATGTAAATATTTCAAATAAGATATTTTGTTTAGATTTTTTTATAAATTCTAGATTAAGAAAAGTAAAGAAACGCATAAGTATATTAAAAAAATGTAACCAATATATATAAAAATGTATATCATTAAGTCTTGATTTGTTTACAATCTTAAAATATAGATATTTTTGATTGAATTATATTTATCGACATAAAATACTTAGCTTCTTTTCTCTCTTCTTTTCTTTCCTGAAATCCAAAAGAAAAGAATTAGAATCAGGATTAAAAATTAATTCAGTCGAAAAATAATTGATTCAAACAAAATAATTAAAAATATGTATAAACTTACAATATAATATAAATCTCAGATTTTTCTTATCTTAATACAATTAAATAAACTATAAAACATTATAAATGCAGCCGGAACAAGACCCTCATTAAAAGAGAATAAAAAAGAAGGGATATACATGGCACAAAGCTAGATTTCGTAATTTCTTGGTTACACATTACACTTGCACGACAATTCCGTGATTCACGCATGGTTATGCACGCGTAACGGTAGTGATAAATTATTATTCAACATCTATAGGATCTTTTGTCATCCTTTGAGATTAATTTGAATGAATGCATAAGGATCTATTTAGTTCCTCCATAGAATAACAATTGATCCTTATCATTAATAACATATAGTCAATTCAGAAGTAACTTCTATTCAGTACCATATACAAATAAATATCAAATTTATGCATATTATGAAACGTCATTATTTCGATTATTGCAATATTTTTATTCCAAATATTTTAAATATATGTAATATTCAAGATCTATAGGAAATTTAATAGAAAGAATATTTCATAAGATTAATCAAATCACAAATCTTTCTGTTGTTCTTTTATTTTGCTCACAGTAAATCGTTTACTTTTTTCGGTTTATTTGAGACTGGAATTCGAAGGTGACAAGGACCAACGCCCACATACTTCAAGTATCATTCCGATCATCGATCATAATGAATTAACAATTCTGATGCAAGAGATTTGTGCTTCTCTTTTGCTATAGATATCAAACATTCATGTTCAGAAAGTATGATGTTCTATTATCGTTCAGTACCATATCTTAGCGGTGTCTCGTTCTTGGATAACGAGAGTGTAAAAATCAGCTTATCGTAAGGTAAATTTTTAGAATGATCGTGATATATATGTGATTTTAAAAGACGGCTCACATGCAAGATTGAACATAAAATTTGATTACTGATCGGAATGCAAATATTATCAATATCAGAGAAAAGGTGAACGTAGCCTTTCTCTTTGCTTTAATTTTAAACACTGGCTAAGTAACTGTTTGTGTATGTAATTTAACAAGTGTTTTCCAATGTAAATTTTTAATTAAAAGTATTTAAAAATAAATCAATTGAAAATATAAAATCTTTGAAAAATTTCTAAAATTCATTTTATTTTTTTGTTACCCTTCTTTCAATCATTGAATAGATATTTATTATATTAGTATAATAAAAATTAAAAATTTTTTTTATATTTCTTTTAATATATTTTTCATTGAAATAAATTAACAATAATTTCCATACAATTTTTGTATATAATTTTTCCCCAAATTTTACATATCTCAAACGATCTGAAAACAACAAAATAAAAATTAGAATAATGATATTTACCAAATAATTAAATTGAAATAAAAATAAGGGAACAGATGCAATTATTTCTGAATAAACAAATGCAATTATTACTGAAAATAAACGTCAGATTTTCGATGCAGAAAGGGTTAAGCCATTATTCGAACAAAATATCGTCGTATCTGAGTGCGTCTGGCCATGAGAACCACACCCGTGATACTTGAATACCCGTGGTGCTAAGATAAAGTTCTCTTAACCATGTACTATACTCTATACCGCCGGAACACAATAGCGTTTATCGTCATTTCATCATTTACAATACGTTGGTCCTGTGACAACGCGAAATATTCGTCGTTTTTGCAGATCACGTTCGTTGCTTGTACACAAAGGGACGATTTTTCTTAAAATGATCACTATGAATCGATGTTCCTAAAACATTGTCATCAGGGCGCATAAATTTTCTTTACGACACTTTACGCGTAAATTCACAATAACTTTAAGTTAGAAATGTCACCAACGACCACACCTCGAATGACATTTGGTTCGATTCCTCGAAGAAATTTTTGCTTAATAAATGTTTATATGTATTAAAATCGATTTGCTTAAATCGATTTACTTAATCGTGAATAATATTGCGCATATGTCTATGTAAATAAATTCGATTTCTTCATTCAGTTTTAGTTTCAATAAAATAAATTAGATATTTAGCTAAATATAACAATACGTCGCGATATTAGGGACCATTGTAAAACCAAAGTGATAGCAGTTGGCCTTCGCTTATGGGGGAGTGATCAACTTTTCTTAAAGTGGGTGTAGGATGTATATAATTGATTGTAAAGACATATTTACTGCTCTTGCAAAAGCGCCACGACGTGTACTAATTGTATTACAATTTGAACCTGATATACTATGCCGCTCACAACCTTAACCATAATGTTATGGCAATCTTAGAAGAAAAAACAGAATTATAATTTGTTTTTTATTATATGCAGAATAAATATATTTTAAAAAATATCTTTGCTTATTTAATGATATATATATTTTTACTATTGATTTTATTTTCTCTATTTTATAATACAACAAAAAATTTTATTAAATACTTTATTAAATAATTAATTAATTATATAAATATTTTATTATTAAATTAAATATCAATTATTGGATTTTTTAATTTGAAAAAAACTTGGAAATAATAATTTGAATTTTTTAATTTTTTGTGTTTATGATGTTCGAAAAAATTTTACATAAAATTTTATATAACATATTTTATTTAATTGAACGTTTGTCATCGTAATTATTAATTATTAAATAGAAAAAATAAACATTTTGTAAATCTATCAGGTTTTCTTACATTATAATTCAAAAAACTAATCGAATACGTTTCCTTATAATATTTTAGGCGCAAAAATGTTACATCCTATTTAACGATTAGTTTCTAAGTTATAATATATTCAAAGATATGTGTGAAGTTGTCCTTTTAAAAGTTTAAATATTACATTCTATTTTAATAAATTCAATACTTTTTCCAATACTGAATATATAAATTAATATTGAACAATCTTTAAACTTAACCAATCAATCAAATCACTTGAGAAAGTAAAACTTTACAAGGACAACTTAATACTGATTCATACATAATTTTTATTAAGATAATAGATATTTTCAAGAGAAAATCGTGTGTATAAAAATTCTAATCGATTTTTAACGTCATTTTTTTTATAAACAATAATCATTATAAATTTATATTTACACTAACTATCGAATTTAAACTAAAGTTTATTATGATTAATGTATTCTATCGCAATAGTAATTATAAAACGCTTCCTAAAAATAATATATAATTTTAATTTTTTTTAAATTTTTTCTAGTTTCTGAAAGAATGCATTTGTGCTTTGTTTCGAAAAATCTTAATTACTAAAATTGAAAAATATGACAAAAGCATTCTCTCTTTGGCTTAATGATGCCCAAAGAAGGTACATATATGAAATTGAATTATAAAAATTACAATTTTTATACAATTCTTATACTCTTAAAATTCTATATATTCTAATGTATATATATCTATATATGGAACACAATTTCTAAATTATTTGATAAAATACATATAATTAATTTTTTATTTGATTATTTCAAAATTATTTATCGAATTAGTTTTCATGATCATACAAAGTTTTATAAATGAAATAAAATATAAAATTTTGATTATTGCTATATTTAGCCTATTTATTATTTCTAAACATATGACTGAAATTTATATACAGTATCTTAAATTATTAATACACATATAAAGAAATTTTATTGTCAATACATGCATAAATTGTCTTTATATATTCATAAAGGTTCAAGAGATAATTTATAATTTAAAATGAAAATGTTTAATTTTTAATTATAATTTTATTTTCTATTCTTAAAGAAAATGAATAATAAATGAAAATTTAAATATACTATAATCAAAATATTATCATATTAATTGAGAACAGTTAAAATATAAGAACAGTATATTTTTTAATTATATCACAAAATATAATATTATTTAATATTATTATTATCTTTTCGTTTTAAACAAAAGAATAAAGATATCTAATTTTATTTAATTATAACTATATGATCAATTTAAGCGTAATAATAATAATATTTATAAAAAACCAATAAAACTAAATAAAAAATATTTAACGAAAATTTATAGATCAAAATATTAAATAATATTTTTGTTTTTTAATAACAGAAAAAATACTATAAAACAAAAATTTTGAAATTAAGTATCATCACTATCACTTTCTTGCTGTTCTCGAGATTCTTCCTCCATTGGAGGAACAGTGTCCATATTTCTATCAAAATAATGAGGATTCCAAGCTGGCAACCATCTATTTATGAACCACCAATGCACGGATAATCTACTATGATTACATTCTGCTCTTTCACATCTACCAAGAAATTGACAAATACCAGTAACGCTTCCACTCTGATTTCTGATACAAGAATCGTCGCATGTATGTTGACGTTCTGTTGAACGGTTAGCAGAACAAACGGAAGGGTGTGAAGTTGAAGAATTGTGCGATGAAAAGATTGATCTAATATTTGATGATGTACTAGGTTCATTGATTGTAGATGCAGGTACTGACATATTTGATGTCGAAGCGCCAGGATCTGCGCTGTTGGATGAATTTCCTGCACTATTTGTACTTCCAAGAGCTGAAACACAAGGTCTACCAATATGAACCGTTGCATAAAGTGGATTATTAACTGATGGACTGCCTCTACTTATCCAATCAAGATATTTGCTAAATTGAGCGGCAGAATTAGAATTAGATAAAACTTTTGATCTGCAAGTACAATTATTTGGATTTTTACAATGGCATTCCATTCTTAAAGATTCGGTAGGTCGACAAGACGTAACAGGCAGTTTTATATAAGAATATTCACCACGACAAAAAGGGCATCTACAATTTCTTGGTAATTGATATATGTAATGTCTAGAATTATTTGCAAATCCATCTTGATAACGTAATCTGTTATGCAAGTTATGGCAATGATGACATAAATATCTCGTATCTATATGTCTACAAAACGAACACATACAATTGTAACCAAGCGGATAAATGGCTCGTCCAGTTGACGCATAAGCAATGTTTTCAGTCGAAAAACAGTTACGACCTAGTCTACCTAATCTATTCTGGCAAAATTGGTTAGATAATCGTGACGAATCTAGATAAAATTGTCTTGGTTGATCATATTGATTTCTACCTTCCATTTCATTTAAAAAATTTGGAATATAATGATTTAAAATATGATATTTATAACAACGAGGATATGTTCTACTGCTATAAGAATATCGATCATCTATTCTTTCGTATGTATGATCATCCACATTGTTTTGATTATTTTGAATCGTGGATTCATTATGAACAACCTCGCTATTATTTTCAGTATTATCATCATCATCGTTATCCAGTCTTTCATAAATATTTTCTTCTGGTTCTTGTAATTGTCGATTACGATTATAATTATGGACTAAATCCACTGGATTTTGATAATTTGGATTGAGATTTGAGTGCATCTGTATCGAACCAGGACGATTTTGGAAGCCTCGTGAACCACGACCTACGTTTTGATAGCTATCATCTCTTTCTTGATTATTTCTATTGTTCATGACCGCAGCTGCCACTTCACCATTTTCATACCGCTGACACACACAACGTGGACCTTGACAATTATGCCCAGCACTACGATATTGCTGAAGTACATTTTGGTCTGGATTTTGGACTTGCATACCGCTGGGCCCGGCTTCCCGTGATTGATCCGATATTTCGGCACCCGGGTCTATATTTTGCTCTAATATATGCCCAGCGGATTGTAATCCTCACATCGATGTTGTAGATGGCATTGGTTTATCGATTATTGCTACTCCGGCATAACTACGACCAATTCCCATACAAGTTGGAAGAGTTGTCCAAGTATCCGTTCTTGGAGAATATACTTCTACAGATGCCAAACTCGATGAACCATCGTCACCACCAACCACATACAAAAGACCATTTAATGCAACAACACCTAAAAATATTGATTTTTATTATATTATTATTTCTAAAAAAAATTTAAATTGCATTTTTGATAATTTATTTATTTTTCAAGAGAGATAATTTTTATTATTTTTAGATCTATTTCTTTATACTATTGTAATTTTAGTAAATTATCATTGTAATTTCAGTAAAAATAACATTATTTACCAGCATTTCTACGACAAAGAGCCATATCACTAACTGGAGTCCATTGATTAGTATCTGGATTGAAAGCTTCTACACTTTTTCTGACTAATGGGCCATCATGTCCTCCTACAGCATATAGAATTCCATCTAAAACTCCAACTCCGGCGCCACTTCGACGTGCAGACATATCAGGCACAGGTTTCCATTGATCTTTTTCTGGATTGTAACATTCAACACTAGATAAACATTGTCTGGATACTCCATCATAACCACCAACCTATAATAATTTTGAATGTTTAATAATTTTTTATAATTGTATTATTTCATTATTAAACTTACAGCATATAATAATCCCTTAACAACTCCCACTCCAACACTACTTCTACGTGTTGACATTGGTGCAATAAACCTCCATTCATGAGTTCTTGGATCATAAACTTCAGCAGAATTAAGACCAGTTGATCCATCAAATCCACCAACCTATTTTTTATAAATATTTTATAATAAAATGATTTTAATAAAATAAGATAAAATAGATTTATTATATATTATATATAATTTCGCACATAAATATAGTTTAATAGATATAACATAAAAAAAAAATAAAATAAGAAAATAAATCATGTACAGCATATATGCAATTTCCAAGAACTGCTACACCAAGTGTTGATCTTCTTGCTTCCATTTCTGGACAAGGTGACCATTGATCTGTAGCTGCATCATAAATATCTACTGTTCGTACTCTAAGAGATCCGTTAAATCCACCAACAGCATATACACGACCACCGAGGACGGATAAACCTATATATTAAAAATAATAATATAACAATATAATAATAAATATATAAGAAATACAATAAATTGTAAGAAAATTGCATTTTAAAAATTTTATATAAAATATAAATATTATTTACCAGCTCTACAACGACGCGTAGGTAATTCAGATACTTGATACCACTTTTCTTCTTTGAAATCATAACATTCTACACTTCTAATTGCTTTTGGAGCCTGTCCTCCTACAACTAGTAACACTTTTGGTAAACCTCTTGGTTGTCTAGGTTTTGTACGAGGTGTTTTAAATAATGATTTTTGTTCTCCTTTAAGTAAATGATATTTCAAAGCTTCTATCAAAAAATCTTTACCTATATAAATGAAAAAATATATCATGTTTATTTTATTAAATTATTAAGTATGTTATACTTTTATATATGACTAATGTTTGTTTTATTATTATTTACATTGTAAATTTGCTTTAAGAAGTGGTTCTTCTTCCACACGTTGTACTAAATATTCTTGGGATAATAAAGGTAAGCGTACATGTTCCATTAATTGTGCTAAATGAGCTTGTCTTTTTTCCAAATCATGATGCACCCATGATATTACACATTCAAACACTTTTTCTTCTGAAGGGACCATTAAACGATCACTGCAAATTAATTTAGCTACTTGCTGTGGTGCTAATGTCAAAAATTCTTCTCCATCCACTACTTCTCTGTGTATATAATGAGATTTTTAATTAGATATAAAAAAATGTGTTAATTGTAATTATGTAAAAATATATAATAATAATATTATATAAAGATATTTTAATATCTTACGAAAAATGTTGTTCAATATAACTATCAGCATGTGACAATAACTCTAAACAACTATGAAGATCAGCAAATGCACGAATTCCTAAACAATTTGATGGATGTAATTGAGCTTGTAAAAAATCACAACATGCATCACGGACATCAGTTAATTGTAAAAGATTTGCAGCTGGTAACAACACTTGTACATTATCTTCAGTGACATGAACTTCTGCAGAATATACATAATCTACCAATAATTCAAGTGCAGAATAATCTACACCTTGTAATGTTATCCTTTCTTGATCTCTTTCCTCAAAACTGGTAAACATAGCATAAAAATAAGGACTACAAGCAGCCAGAACCATTTTATGAGCAGGTACTTCTAAACCTCCATCTGCCACCAAGATTACATCACATAATAAATTTTTCCTAATAAATAATTACATTATGTTAACATAATTACATTATTTTATATTTTGAACATCCAAAAAAAGACTCTGATATAATTCTCTTTCTTTTGGATATTTTCAATATTATTTTAAATTAATACAACAAAATAAATATTAAATATCTCTTACTTTCTCATTTCATTGATAACATCAAATGCCCGATTTGTATGATGATGATTTCTATATGGTGGTTTATCTTTTCCACTCTCACGGGGTATATGCTTTTGTGAACTTTCGTCCAATGAATTTTGACTAGCATATCGAAGTAATAAACAACTAGAAAAAAATAATAAAAAATTCAATTCAATTCAAAAAAATAATAAAAAAATAATATATTTTTTCATTAAATATTAAATATATTTTATTAAATCAAATGATGAAAAATATATCACAAAATTATAAAAATTAAAAAAATATATGGAATATAATTTTACCTTCCCTTGTTTTCAGAAGTATCAGCATTATTAGAGGCACTTTGTACCTGATTCTGATTTGCTGACTCCATTTCAATTATGTGATACTAAATGAAGTCAAGAGAAAAAATTAACCTGAATTAATGACAGGTAATAAAGATCCAGTTTTTTTGCACAAATATCGGTTCATCGAGTTGAACAATCATTATTATAAATATAAAATCAGTTGAAAGAAACAAAAATGACGCTACTGATTTTATCGGCTCCGTGTATTGAAATGTAAAACATTTACAAATATATGTTACATGATATTAAATCCACGAAATAATATAAGAAACTATAATTACAAGTGTACCAATAATAATATTCTAGTAAAGAATACAATCACTAGAAACAAACTTTCTTATTCAGTTCTTGAATGTCATTTGCTACTTTTGATAGTTTCGTTAAGGAAAAACATACGTTGGTGTCGACATCTACGAATTTTTGTCTCTTTAAATTTTTATCCAATATTTATTTATTATTATCATTAAATGATTTATTAATCAGATGTATACATATATATTATATGCATAATAAAAAATTATAGAGAAATTATATAGAAAAATTATATAAAAAAGTAAAAATGAAAAAAATAAAATATAAATATATAATATATTATAATATAAAAATATAATATATTATAATATAAATATAATATACTTTGAGTTTAAAATTTTTTTTTTATTACGATTAGTTAATTATTTTAATTTATTTAATTTTTATTTTTATTTATGCAGATTATCATTTAATTTTGAAAAAATAATTTTTCTATCACGGATTAATAATTAATTGCATGTATTTGAAGGCGGGAAAAATGTCAATATGGACGCTATAATGATAAACAATTAAGATAAATGATAAATTTTACATTTTGTAGTAAAAAGACATATACATAAATATATTATATTCTCTTTTAAACTATTAATAATATATATTATTTTAAAAAAATGTGTACAATATTACTTAAAAAAGGTACAAAAAAATCTTAGGAATAAACATACTTAAATGACTCATGAATAAAATGTATAAAAGGTGCTTCAAACGTGAAATTTTTACATAATTTTAAATTATATATGAAATTAAACGCGCGCAAATTTCCTCCATGTAAACATTACAACGATCGAATCGAAACTGTTTCGTTTCATTTGATACGCATGGCTCGGCGAGTAAAGACGTGTATTGGAATATATCGATAACTACGCAAGTAACTATTAGTAGATTTCAAACAAATATTTTAATACAAAATATTTAAATATTAAAAAATAAATATTTTTATGTTTTTATATAAATAAACATTATATGTTTTTATATAAAAAGAATAGATAGAATATCGTTTTAATTTAATAACTTTCAATAAAATCTGATAATAAATCATAGAGGGCGTAAAAAACACTTTTTTTTAAAGTCGGTATTTCAGAACACATAATATAAAATTTCATAAGATATTACATCTATTCTATATATTGTTTGTGATATTATATCACAAATTAAATTTAATATGTAAGTAAACTATAATGTAAGTTTTTAAGGCATTTATTGGAAAATTAAAACGTAAATATATATTTATATTGAATTTATTACAAATTTTCTAGTCAAATATATGTTGAGTGTACAAGTAATATTAATAATTAATTTTTTAAAGTGCATCCCATAAATGATTATATGTGCAGATTATAACATTTAAGCATATATAATTATATATGTATATGTTAATCTGTATACTTTTCTTAACTATATTAAATTTTTTCAATAAAATTATTGGCAATTAACAATTTTAATTTTTAACAGTACTATCTTACATTATAGTTAAACTATTGTGGAACTTTTAATAGTTTAGAAATATTACTTGCAAAGTTATTCAGACAACTTAATTTTCATACCATAATATACTACCTATATAATTATATAACAGTTCACAACGTATTTTCATCATGAAGCAAAGTGCAAACTTATGTCATCATTATATATCATCTTTTTTATTGCAAAAAATAGCTCGACAAATTAAAACATATACTATAAAAATTCTGTTATTTTATTCGAAATTATTCAATAAATTTTCATATATGCATATATATATATATATATATATATATATATCATTTAACTTTAATCTAAATATGTAAATAAATTTTGAAATAGTATAAAAAGTATAAAATGAAAATTATAAAAATTATTATTAATTATAAATATAAATATTATTTATTTAATTATTAATAAAAAATTATAATTAAATATAATTATATACATATTATATAATTATAATATTGTAAATTCATATTATAAAGTAGCAAGAAAAAAAAATTAAATAATATTCCAATATACGTCGAATTTATTGATCAAAATAGATTTAAGCCCTTTTTTAATTAAAAATCTAGTTCGAAAGTGGAAATCTGTTATATTTATTATGAAATTTGAATTTTTATAAAAATTCGAATATTTTTTAAAATAAAATTTGTTTCTAATAAATATATAATAAATATAATTTTTGAGATTTCTAATGTTGAAAAAATAATTATTAAATTATTATTAATAGTTATAAAAATTGTAACATATTTCAATAATAATTCGATAATAGTTATTATTCTTACAGATTCGGTATTAGATGTGTTTCAAAGCTCAGAGCGCCAGGTGTCGCAGTTCGAGTAGTGAGGATCGGCCGCGATATGGTTAGTCAGTTATCCAGCAGATTGCTGTGAGAGCGTTTCGTCGCGCCATAAGAGGCGTCGATGCTTTCTTACTTAGTCTTTTCTTTCTTTTTCTCGCCCTCGTGTTGCGAGAATTGGCGCGTCTCAAATTTCGAAATTCAAAACCCCGCGGAAACGATCGTTTATACATCTTGCACGATCAATCGCGTACCTGCAACACAAAAACTATCAGAGAAAACGTCAAGAAAACAAGCAAAAAGGAATTTCGCGTTGATCGTGAAAGTTGATCCGGTCCTCTCGACGTGGAATCCTATTGGCAAAGAACAGCTTCTTCGTAACTTTCCTTGTTTTCGTTTCTTCGAAAGGTATGTTAGATTCGTAAATATATAACTCAATTGCGTCTTTAATTCCTTTGTTTATCTTTGGCCATGGTGTAATGACTTTCTCAACATTTCAGCTTCTCAATTTTAAACGTTGTCAATTTATCAAAATCCAATTAAATTATATATTTTAATTTATATATAAACGAAAGAATATTATTATAATACGATGAATCATCTTGATAGAATTTATTCATTTAATCATTTTGCAAAATAGTTATTAAATTCGATTCGAGTTTTACCGATTCGATAGAAATGCTGGAATATATATATATTATCATATCAATGTGATTTATCGATACAATACGATACTTTCGTAAAATCGAAAAATACATGTGATAATTGATTAGTGCGAAAAAATCGATTTCTTGATCGAAATAAACGATAGTAAATTGAAGATTATATACAATTACGATGCATGAATGGCCATGAGATGTACCATTACAAAAACGTGTTCTTAAACACGATTCTTGTGCGTTGCTTCGTTTTGTATTTTCGTAGAAACACACGTGGTTCAAAGTCACATCGCGTGGAGAGTAGCGGTATCTCCAGGAAGCTGCAAGATTATTTTTATTTTTTTTTTTTTTTGCCTCTACATATATTCTAACTATGTTTTCGTTTTCTTCTTACAAATTGTATTTGATATTTCTAATCTATTTATGATTATGAAATTTTAAATGATTCATTTAACTATTTCCAAATTTTTTAGATACAGTAATAATGTAATTAAATTGTATATTTAATATCATGGATTAATCAATTTAATTTTAATTTGTAATAAAATTAAAATTATATAATATATTTTCGTTGATCACGTTGCTTCAATTTGCTCAAATTGTGTGATATTTCAAAATACACGCTGATATAACTTTTATATATAAATATAGTATCCTGTTTTAATTTTTATTTAAAGTTAGTTGAGTTAATGACACTATTGCTATATAAAACATATCTTCAGTCCTTCTGTTAGACTTTCCGTAGTATCTGTTATATTATATGAATAATAGCATAATTAATAATCGTCTCTCTAGTTATTTAATTAATATTTAAATATAGAACATAAGAATATAAAAAGCAAAATTAAATAGGCGATACTAACAGGTAATTCTAGATTATTTTAATAATTAATGAAACATAACAAGTAATAAGCTGCGTACATCGCGTTCAATTAGAATTATCTTTACCAGTATATTGCAGACCGCGTAGTAATAATTAAATACATTATCGTTATTGTTTCGATTCGTGCAAAACATAAATATTTTAATTATGAATCTAAACAATTAACTAACGATAATTTATCGTATTTGCATATTAATTTTTATTAATTTATCTTATTAAATATACGCAATATGAATTTTATAACTTATTTGTTCCATATAATATATAATTAAAATTATATGATTCTTTAATAAAATAATTTCACAATTATTTTTTAAATATTTTATAAATCGAAATTCTGAAAGTTTGAACGAGATAGTTTCTGATTGTTGTCAATGAATCGATGAAATTGAAATCTATAGAATGAAACAGGGAAAAAAGAGGGAAAGAGAGAGAGAGAGAGAGACAAATAAAAAGAAAGAAGTAATAGTTATCACAGGATGAAAGGTGCCGACAGTGAGGAAGAGTACGTTCCTAGTATATATATACCATTGTTACAAGTGCAAGGTTACATGCAACGTGCATTGTGTATCTGGACGATTATTTTCCCACTAGTAGACGATCGTCGATTCGCTGTTTGCACAATATGAACGGTTCTTTCCAGGCTGTCGCCTTTCAGTTTCATACTCGACCTTCCGTCTAAATCATTCGAGGAACAACTTTATTCGTGTAATTCCCGTAATAATTCTCTTCGCGTATACGACATTCCAATGCATACGTTTTCATTGTCAAATCGTTTAACGATCTAATAGCGAGTTCATACGATTTACGAATTATAAAATTGGAGAGATTTTTTTTCTTTTTTTTTTTTGGAATTTCATTCCACTCAGCCTTGTAATTACTGTATGTCATTTAATCGAAAGATAAAAACATTGCCGCAAATTATTATTATTTTTCAAGTAATTAGAAGTGTAATTAAGTTTATAATAATTCTTGGTTAGAATAATTATATTTCAAACGATAAATAATTTTTTTACTATTTAATTTATTATTATTTATTTATTTATTTTTTTTTAATATTTCGAGAAATTGGTATATAAAATGATCGATCGTTCGATATTTTCTTATAATACGAAAATAAAATGTTAAACATGTTTCGAATAATATAAAAGTTCGATCGATCACTCCTAGTCGAAACAAAAAATCTATATCAGTTGGGTTGATGATACAAGTTGATTGAAATTT